GGGACGACTGTGGAATTTTCGCAATCAAATACATAGAATTTTTGAGTATAACATATAAGGTTAATGAAATCAACTAGTCATGGAAACAAAATTGGCGAAATAAGTTAGCGTGTGATTTATACGAATTTAATTGTGATCCATAAATTATTTGTAAATATTTTTTGTAATTAATATTTATAATTATATTTTGTGAATATTTGTAACTATTTTTCGCAATTGTTTGTAACGATTCATGTAAATACTGTTTATTTCAATGTAAACACTATTCATTTCAACGTAAATACTTTTCATTTCAATGGAAATACACAATGCTCTAACTGTCATTTAAGGAAACTTGACTTGTACAAAATTGGTGAGTATGTCATACTGATTTGCACCTATTACACCTACGCGGTCGGAAAAACTCTCCAGTAGATGGTATTTTAGAAGTACTTGAACATTCAGGAACACGTGGTTCAATGAGAGGTGGCGACAATGTATTGAATGGGCGAATATGATCGGGAACTTCCCACTCGGCTTCGTTTGGAAGCAAAAATATGGTTTCAACATACGCAGCTCTCCAATTTTCAGCAATGTAATAAGGAGAGCACAATGTTCTCGCTGCAAATCCTCGATACATAACCACTGCAACTGCATGCTCACATGGAAAACTCTCTAACTGAAATTGTTTACAAGTGCATGTTCCATCATTTAAATCTACCATATATGTCGTATGACGTGCACATTCCACATAGAAGTGCGACTCGTCTAGTGGTTCGACATTTAAATTTCTCGCAGCCTCTGCAGCCTTGAAGAGCTTTACCTCTTGTGCTGGGGCTAGCACGCTTGTGCAATTATGTGATTCCGCACATCGATCGTGAAACCACTGCTGCAGCTTCGTATGGATATTCTCAATCAGTGCGAGAATGGATAACTCTCGATCCCTCTTAAATAATGCATTGAGAGACTCCGCGTTGTTCGACGTCATCATGTTGTATCGACATCCTGGAAAATATGAGCGCGCCCAATGTTCAATCCCCATTTTCGTTAGATAGTCTCATATCGGGAATGATTTTCTTCCTATTTCAATCATGTACCTATTACACTCTTCAATACTGTAAGCTTTGACCGCCTTCCTAAACAATGAAACGATGTCTTTGTCCCGATACCTGGTCTTCAAGTTGCCTTGTATATGGTACATGCAATACCTATGATGTGCATCGGGAAAAATTTTAGTAATACCATTTATCATAGACTGTCCCTGATCGGTGACAAATGCAAGGTTTTCGACTTCTCCGATTACTTCCCTGAGCTTTGTAAAGAACCAACGCATCGACAGATCATTCTCGTTATCAATTATGTCGAATGCAAGAGGGTAAATTTGAATGTTGGCATCTTGACATGTACCAATAATCAACTTGCCTTGGTATTTGGATTTCAGAGTTGTACCGTCGACTAGAATTAGGGGTCGCATAACATTTCGAAATCCCCGAATACATTGTCCAAGAGCCGTAAAGAAGAATTTGAAGCAGTTATCGGTCTCCGTCTCAATAAAAAATGCCGAGCCAAGATTAGTTTTCTCCATGTTATGGCAATACCTGACCAATTTAGCATAGCTTTCCTCTGCCGAGCCCATTAAATCCTCCAATGCGCATTCTTTGGCCTTCCAGGCCTTCTGGTAGCTCATAATTACTCCGTACTCTCGACAAACATCGTTAATGATGTCCGATGCTCTGTAGATTGTCCGTGGATCCTGATACTTCTGCATTATCTGTCGACCAATAAACCAAGCTCGGGTTTGCCTGTGATCATTGCGACAAACTCCCACTTCAGAAGTATGTTCTCGTGTATAACTGCGAATTACGAAGCACTCATTCGTGTCCATCTTCTTTGCTCACAAACGTCAACTGCAACTATCATTTACGCATGATAGCGTCAACAATGACCTATTCGATTTTTTCACTCTAAACTCGAAGTTGTATTTCACTGCAATTAGGTGCACGACTTCTTGCAAATCTTTCTTCGTTTCAAACAGTTGCTCGACATACAAATCCTCATTATCAGGAACCACACGTAAGGAGTTAGAGGACGGTTCACTCGATCTAGCCCCCGAGGTGCCACCCTACTCATGTCTCTGTCGGGATAAAGCAATCAAGTCCTCGTTTGTAAAAGTATTTGCATTTTCATTCTCGTTGTCACGAGCAGCGGAGGGGATTCTGTATGCAACTATCTCTGGAATAACCACATCATCTTTACGAGTTATCTCCACCTTATCCCAAAATCATTAGCATTGTGATTCCCACCTCCCGAGTCTACTTGTTCATTTTCGACGACATCCTTCCTTACTAAAGTCACGCAAAGAGGAGTCGTGTGCTTATTGTTCAATTCAATCAGATAATTCACTTCGTCAACAGAAGAAATCATTATAGGTGGAACGGAATTGATGCATGCTCGCTGAATTTAAATTTAAATTTCATGTTGTACTGAGAAGAATCAACATTCAACTTGTTCTGTAAATCATTATAGAGTTCTGCATACGATGTACCTGATGATATGAAAATTGCGATACTACCACATTTATCACTTGTCCATTTTCATACCCATTGATCTCTTTCGTCCAATTCGAAATCACCAAAATAACAAACTGGGACTACAACCATATCTGCATGTCGAAATAAAATTTTTAATTACAAGAAAAATATCAACAGTAATAAAAATAACCCAAAAAGGGGGAAAAACAGTTGACAAACAGCTGACTGTTTAAACCGACTGTTAAACAGCCGATCAAACAGTCTGCCAAACAGTCGGTTGGCTGATTATTTAGTGTTAAACAATCGGCCAAACAGCCGACTATTTTTTCGACTAGTCAAACAGTCGATTCGCCGGCGTCGGCATAAATATGCAGATGAATTTTTTTCGTTCAAATACTTAAAAAATTACAGATCTATTAAATTTTTTTTATCTACTAATCATTAAATGTCTAAATATAATTTATCAATTTAAACATACAATAATTTAACGAAAACAAGATTAAATTTGCGTATATAAACTTACCAAACCGACAAGATTGATGTTCACAAATTTTTTGACTTCTGATTTCGATAAATTTTAAGTTGAAGCAGATGAATGATGAGATTGTTTTATTTATCTGTGTTGGAGTAAACAGATAAAAATGTAAGAAGTGTTTGATTTTTATTTGTTAAGTGAAAGGGTATTCATGTCTTTTAAAAAAATCAACTTTTGTAATTGTATAATTTATTTAAGGGTATTTTTGCCTTTAAACATTGGATAGGTCATTTTCATAATATCCCTTTGTTGAGAAGTCAATGTGGAATTTAAATGATTTGATTAGGTTAATTTTAAAAGTACCCCCTACATTTGATATTCATGTCAGCAATCTGTTATTTTCCAAGAAAACAACTTTGTTTTGTAGCTGTTCAAATTTTTTACGCTCCTTCGCCAGGAAGAATTTGACACCCTTATTGATCAATACTCATGTGAAAAAAAAAAAAAAAAAACCCAAAAAATTGTGAGAGATCTGTCATGGAGGGTGTCAAACCCTCCATTGCCACATAGTAGAATTAAGAACCTTACTACATGTATATCAAGATTTAAATAATGGATCGCATAATGTCACATATCGCTCTATTATTTGCCAAATTAAAATACAGTCAACTTATTCATTCAATCTTTTCCCTCCATATCATTTTATATAATCCCACATGTACAATTTTTATATAAAAGTAGCATAATGACCATAATCCCAGAATTAATTCTTCCATTTATGCTTGGCCTATATTTATAAATACTCCAATAATTTTTTATCCACATATTTTGAAAGACTCAAAATATTATCTACTTGTCTACAACTCATTTTTATATATTTACAATTTAGACCGATTATAAACACTTTCCATACATGCTCATCTTATACTTCGTAGGCACAATTAGTCTACGGAATTCCCAGTTCCAAAACTTTCAAGTACTCGTTACAAAATTGAAAATGAACATAGAAGCACACTAGTGAAACTTAGGTAGTGGTTGGTTTGCATTTTCATTTTTTATTTTCATTTTCAAAACGATTTTTAGTTTTTCCCGAAAACGGCCATTTTCCGCGTTTTGAGCATTTGCGACATTTATAACTGAAAACGCTGAAAACGATAAAAAGTCATATTGCGTTTTCAGTTATAAATTTTAACTCGTTTTCGAAAACGACGGATCAAATGCATTTTCCGCGTTTTCGAATACGAAAAATGGAAACCAACCACGGCCTTAGCTTCTATATTCTCTTTTATGATTATACATCAAAACGGAAGCACGTGAGCAAAAAATCCCCGACTTCCCAAAGATTGTTCAGTGCCCTCTGAAGTTTTGTTTGTTTATTGCAATCTCAAAGCCTTTATCCAGTCAATTTCAACTTGGAAATCACCACGACCAGATCTAGCATCAGGAATTCCACCTAGTGCATTGACAGACAACGACATGCCTACAACTTGTGAAGGGTTCATTTCTAACTTTGCGTCTATAACATTTCCTCTCCATGTTGGCAGATATCGAGCAAGAGGAATCTGCACAAGCAGGTATTGACATTGTAATATCCACAGCATTAATATTTCATGCCATTTTATCCAAAATTCATTGCAGTCATGCTGCCGCGAGTCAGCAGATGAGCAACGTTTAAACTAGACTCTAACAATGTGACTGTAGTCCGAACAGAAATCATATTTTATAACCAAAACAGCGAAACTTTTTTGCAGGATGCCTATACGCCGTTTTCAAAAATAAGTTCCAAGAATTTCTTTTTCTTACTATATACATAAGTTGCATTCTCTAACAAAATTACAAAATCAATCTCAGGATATAATAATAATAATAAAAGGGTTCGATTGCAAACAATGAGGTGCATCCAAATTGTGTGTGTGTGTGTTTGGCGGGGGGGGGGGGGGGGGGGTGTGTGTTAGACAACAACCTTCCATTCCTGTTCCCAATTCTCATAAAAGTACCAGCAATGTTGATTGATATTAGCAATGATGAAGGTTCACCCAGTTCTCTGTATAAATCTGCATTAAAATTTGATGAAGGCTCAATCAAGATTTCTTCATCAGTTTTCAAGTATTTAATTGTTTTACGCCTTGAGTAATGCTATGTAACACCGTTAGTGTTTAGCACCAATCTATGTGGCATTCAATGATGGGCCTAATTTAACAGATCTCATATCCCGACATTTAATTAGACCTATCATTTAATTCCACATGTTGTCATGTAAAATGGTGCTTGCAACATGGCATTATTCTTTCTATTCGAAAGTTTAGCATCATTGCAAACTACGTAACATAAATGATAGGTCCAATTTAATGGGTCCCACACGTGTTACCACATAGAATTATGCTAAACACCAGTGGTACAACATAGCATTATTCTTTCTACTAGCAAGTTTAGCAACATTGCGAGCTTCAAGCACTCAAGGCAAATCTTGGGCATATTCCGTTGAGTTAGGTAGCATTTGGAGTACTCACTGTTGAAATATAGCATCTCCCATTTCCTTTAAGTTTTAGTGCTAATGCATCGTATCCATCCAAATCAATGAAGCCATCAAACTACAGGGGCAAAAAATGGATACGGAAGTCATTATAAAGCAAAAGATGACAACCAAATGAAATATGTTCTAAGTCGGTTTGTAGCATATTTTTCCTTTTAGCATGAACACTAGAAAATTCGCTAACAAATTGCTGACAAAGCCAAAACCTTAATTTCTCTAAATGTTCAAGGAATGACATGAACATTAAGATTGAGAGGGTTGTTGCATTAACTTAATTGCAAATTAGGTCTTAAGTTTCACCAGTCAAACTTTAGAAGTGTGACCCTTGATCTGCAGATGAGCAGGAAGTTTACGAATATCATGCACCTTTTTAGACCGCATTCCACAAAAGCCACTTCGAGTTATGTTCCATCTTGAACTCTCACTGACATCCAAAGATAGGTTTCCAGAAAATAACCGTGACAGAAATTAAAAATAATGAAGGTTCAGCAATTAAAACAAATCTGCATAAGATGATGATAAACAGGAGTTTTAATGCCAGAACTTACTTCAAGAGTTGAGTACTGAAGTGGTATTCAGAAAAGTAGTTGTATTAAAGTCTTAATTGTCTTTGGCTTGTGGACATGCACATACAGATATATGTATATATACATATACATGTATTTATGTATGTATACACCAGAATGCACTTCAAGAGTTGAGTACTGAAGTGGTATTCAGGAAAGTAATTGTATTAAAGTTTTAATTGTCTTTGGCTTGTGGACATGCACATACATACATATATAGATATATAGACACGTACTTGGACATAGTTATCCCACAATCTAAGTTGCACATACATGAACATCTCCGACACGACACAAACACGTTGACACATAAATTTTCTAAATAGTAGGGCACGTCCATTTAAATTCTTGAAAATTTTAATTGCGCACACACACAAATATAAATATAAATATATATTACAATTTTTAATATAAGACAAACATATGGCATGCAGACGGTTGCCTGAGGAGTGTTTCTAAAGCATCCCTTGAGTGTCAGTAATTGAAACAATATAAAAAAAAATTGGGACAACAGAGCGTGGGTTTTGGATACATGGCCTTGAGTGTCGAGATCCTACAAGACACATATCGACATAGACACGTTGTCATAGTAGAAGTGTCCATGCGTCATAACCCACTGCAAATAAAATTGGAAGACAAAACCAAGTATTCAAATTAAAGCACTTTTAATGATGATGATGGAAGGTACAGCAACTACAATTCGTTTCAAAAACAAAGAACTAAGAAAGGAAAGTTTAGGGGGTGTTCTCTTTGTGTTTCAAATTTCAGTTTTGTGTTTTGAATTCATTTTGAGTTTTATGTTTTGAGTGTTTGTTTTGAAATTGTTGAAAATGCGTTCTTTTTGTTAGTTTCTCAAAACAAAAAAAAATGATTTTTTTTTTTTTTTTTTTTTTAAATTTTGAGAATCACCACAACACCACCTCAAAATACCAAAAAAAATTTAATTTTTTTTTGAAATTTTGAGAATCACCACACCACCTCCTCAAAAAAAAAAAATAACAAATAAATAAAAAAATGTGTTTCCCGCGTTTTCAATTTTTTCAAGTTTTACACTAAAAACGCCCAAAATGACAAAAAGTCGTTCTGTGTTTTCTTCACAAAATTTTTTTTCGTTTTCGAAAACGGGAAAGAGAATACGTTTTCACCGTTTTGAAAAATCGAAAACAGAAAACGGCCCGAAAACGGTAAAGAGAACAGGGCCTTAACTTTTCATCATAGTTCTTATGTGATTATAGCTAGATACTGGCATATAAATAAGATGAAAAGGAGAAAAATTGGGAAATCTCATACATACACGCATCATGTATAGTAACAAGGTTAGAGAGAGAATTACTGACCAGTACCACTTGATCCATTTCCAGACTCTTTTATCTCCAATGATGCAGATGACAAGCCTGGAAAGTTATATTAGATAGTTATACAAGTCCCTTTCATTTCTTTTTCTTTTAAAATAATTCTTGTGGCATATACTGCCGCACTATACACAGTAGCAATGCCGACATCATGTAGAAAATGCAAAGTTATATTTGATCATTATACGAGTCCCTCGCATTTCCTTTTCTTTTAAAATAATTCATGTGGCATATACTGCCGCACCATATATAGTAACAATGCTGACATCATGTAGAAATGCAATATAGCTTTGACGATCTGCCTTTGTTTCAAAAATTGTTTCTTCAACTTTTTGTCTTACATTTAAATGACTAGAAAATAAAATAATCTTAATATCTTTATTCATCGTACTTTCTAGTTTCTACATTTAATTTTTTAAGAAAAATGATAACTGTTCTTTTTATCTTTTTTTAACATGAGTATAAAGTGCCTTCTTATATTCACAAGGTAATACTACATTGATTATTGAAGAAATTTGTTAGGGCTTATGGTCATAAAGCAAATAAAAAAGAAGCATATCAAAATCATAACTCCGATGGTGCAGAAAGTAACATAAAGATGCTGCTATTCATTCATAACACTCATATTAAAACTCATAAATGACGTAGACAAATCCGTACTATCCTTGGACTAAATAACAATATATACAGAAAATTTCTCAAGCCAAATTTTAGTTTTGTACTGTATATTTGTTCGTTATACGAGTCCCTGAGCATTTCCATTTCTTTTATAATAATTCTTGTGGCAGATACTGCAGCACCATACATAGTAACAAAACCGACATCGTGTAGAAAATGCAGTATTATAATTTCAGTTAAAATTTCAGCATCAACCAATATTTTGTTGAAACTAATGCAATCTTCCACTGGTTGATTTCTCATGCATGCATAATCGCGTGTATAGGTAGAGATTTATAAAAAGGGGCAGAAATGTAATGTATTTTGTTTTAGATACATTAACATGGGATTGTGCAGTATGAAAGGGCAAGATTAGTCACTTGACCTGTCTAGGTCATTGCACTTTCTAGAATTCAGATTCAGGCAATAGAGATATCTAAGTTTCAAATCTACATTACCTCCATATTCAGAATCTGAATACAAATGCCACCTTTTAAGCTCCTCTTTTGAATTAAAATTGAAAATATACTTTTCACTTGGTGGAACTAAGTTTTCAGCATTCCATACTAAAGCTGCAAGATGACAACAAAATGATTACAGGATGAAGGTGGTGAATGTACTTGTCAGAAAACTCGGTCAATAACTGAAGAATGAAAAGAAAAGTGCTATGAAATGCCATTTTATATAGATGTTTTATTTATTTATTTTTCAAAAGAAGGCAGAAGAGACTATAATTTGCGGCATCACTCCATTCCATCTGGATGCCTGTCCAGGAACCTATCAAATTATTAGATGGCAATACCGAGGACTGATATCACTTGAGTATAGTGTGGTATAATGTTAAATACATAGATCTCTCATAAATTCATAATCTAGATTGTACACAGGTGATACTAATTTTCCATTTTACGAGATACAAGCAATTTTCTAATAGACCAACCAACCACTTTCAAAAGTCTGGGAAGATGAAAGAAGCACCTGAACGACCTCCACTTTACAATCCTTCTGGCGAACCCAAAAGATGAAAAAGTGGATGCCCCCTTCAGTTGAATAAAAAGTTGATGGTACCGAAACAAAATTTAACTACCCATGCCATTTGTTTGCTAACACATTTCCTGAGGCTTTTCAGTATTTAAAATACAGATTAACAAATTTTAGAGCCGTAAAAATGGTGCAGTCCAAATCCTTCCAAAATAGGAAAGGAGTTTATTTATTAGAAGACCAACAGAAGTTCATTTTTCTTTTCAGATATATCCTAAGCAAAATTTACTCAGCCTATTAATTACAACTTTAATTCAAAAAACTTAAACAATTTTACATCCGTAAAACAACAACAGATAAATCGAGAAATGTCACCGGTAAGGAGTAAATAACTTCATTACCAAGAATATACTGAAGATTAAAAAAAAAAATCAAAAAGTTTAATTGGATGACGAGGCAATGATCGAAAGATACCTCTTTTAGTCGCATTGAGAGAAGCTTGCAGCAGAGCACGAAACCTTGACATTTATAGAACTTCTAATTTTTATATAAATTCGAGGATTAAACTTCACAGACTAAATTGAAATATACATTTAATGCTTCAAAGTAAATACGTATACACAAATTTATACGTGTATCACCTGCAATGGAAGTAGAAGCTATAACAGCAACCAATTACTGTATTATTGTCACTGAAAATAAAAAGGAACCGGTGAAGAAGAAGAAGCCAAAACGACAAGAACGGACACCGTTTGCAAATGAGACTGTTCTCAGTTCATATTTAGAAAAATTGCAGCCACCACCTCCAACTTTTACCTGTTTTGCATCCCAGTCTCCCACATTTATTTATTTCTTAGTACTAGTCTTCGTCTCTTTCGTTGCACGAGTATTGTATTTATTATGTTATTATTAGTGTGGAATGTGTAGAATTTATATTATTCAAAAATTGTCAATACTGGTGCATTTCTTTACCCATGGGACAATAATCACCGGAGTGCATGATGTTGGAACTTGGAAGTTAGAACAATAATTTGATTTTAGCACCAGCACCACTATGAATCTTCATGTTAATTTATAAATGTTTTTATGGTACATCTATATGATAACGTTGTTCCTCACGAACTTCCAAAGGTTTACCACCTTACCAATAGTATCAATGCTGTGGTATAATTTTCTACTCATTTTGAATGAAATGTGCAATAAAATTCTTCAACGAAAACTATTTGGAGAAGTTAATTCATGATAATGCAAGGATAATCACAGGTTTTCCCTGATTGTGCTGGTTTGGATCCTTAATTCTTTGCCCCTATTGCGCATGATTTTGATCCGTAATTCTTATTCCTAAAATTTTATATGATCTGAAATGAATTTGTGGAAATGGTGAACCCAACATCACTCATTTTTACAAGAACTTCTAAGCTACATGGATAGTGACATAAAAAAAAAGTCGAACATGGTGATTTAAAGCTACTAATAATTCTTTATTTCTTTTAAAAGGTCAATACGAAAGAAAGACCCAATTAAATCAAAATTCAAAATATTCATTGAACGTTATTTTGGCTTAGATCGAAAATTAACACTTGAAATTGGAAAAAATTAAAATTAAAATTGTGTTTTATCTAACTTTTGAGAGTTATAATCTATGTGCTATTTGATTATAATCTATGTTATGTTATATTCGTAAGATAGAAATTGCAATATTTGTTATTTGAATTTTTTGGCATAGGTCGTATGGCAATGAATCATTTAAGATATTTATTGACTTTGAGTAATTTTTTTTGATATTTTACATTGCGTTGTATGATATTTGATTTTAATTTATATAACTATTTGTTAAAATTAGTAGCTGAGAGAGATGGAGGCCAATGCGGTCAGTGAGGAATTTGAGATATTCATATTTGTAAAAGAGACTCTGTGCACAGTCACCTCCACTGTAGTATTTTTTCTTTCTCACACACTACTTCACATCATCCAATTCAACTGATAAAGAAAAGAAACAGAATAATTTAACAAATTAAACAACAATAAAATTACAGGCAAAAATAAAAAAAAAGTTATTATAAAGTTTTAAAATTAAATTGAAATAATTAGAAGTAAAAATAAATATTATTTAATTAAAATTGAAAAAATTGCGTTATAAACGAAAAGAATTAAAAAGAATTTTAAATTTAAAAAAAAACATTTATAATATGAAGAAAAAAGAAATTTTAAAAAAAATTTCAAAAAAATATAATAAAACAAAATAAAAGAAAGTTACGAAAATTAAATAAAGAATTTAGTTACTTTTGCTTTTTCATTCCCAAACTCTCTTTTCTTTTGGTATCTATCGTTAGCACATTTTTCTAATTGACAACTTTGCTTCTTCTTTTCCGTCTCACGTTACTTACCATGTCCAAAGCTGTGAAAACTTGTACTCAACACATAAAAAAATTCAGAGTTAATTCTCCCTCAAGTTTTGTGCTTGATTTTGTCCTTTAAAAAATTTCTCTCCGAAGTTCATTTTGTTGTCAAAAACGTCGTTTATCAAATCCCATTCTGATAATAGCCTATGCAATAATTGTTCAAAATTGTCAACAATAGAGATTTTCAAATACGATGTGAATTTAACTTAAATTATTTAATATTTGCTTCTCATGATCTTACACGTGTTAAAAATTCAAGAATTTTTATTTCTTGCTCTTAAAAAGTTGGAGCTTTGTTAGTTAACTGGGTTTACTTGCCAGTATCTATTTTAAATTTATTCCATTTTAAGTGTCTGGTTTCTTTTTGGCTACCCACGATTTTTTACATTTTAAAAATTAAGAATTTCTGTTTCTTTCATACAAGTTAGAGCTTTCTTGGTTTTGTTGTGGGCATATCTTTTATATATATTGCTGGGTTTTGTTCTTCAGTGCTCCTTGTGATTTTGCAGCTTAAAAGTTAAGAACTTCTATTTCTTGCACGCGAAAGGTTTAATCTTTGATAGTTTAGTTTAATATTGATACAAACACGATGTGAATTTAACTTAAATTCTTTAATATTTGCTTCTCATGATCTTACACGTGTTAAAATTTCAAGAACTTTTATTTCTTGCTCTTAAAAAGTTGGAGCTTTGTTAGTTAACTGGGTTTACTTGCCAGTATATATTTTAAATCTATTCCATTTTAAGTGTCTGGTTTCTTTTTGGCTACCCACCATTTTTTACATTTTAAAAATTAAGAATTTCTATTTCTTTCATACAAGTTAGAGCTTTCTTGGTTTTGTTGTGGGCATATCTTTTATATATATTGCTGGGTTTTGTTCTTCAGTGCTCCCTGTGATTTTGCAGCTTAAAAGTTAAGAACTTCTATTTCTTGCACGCGAAAGGTTTAATCTTTGATAGTTTAGTTTAATATTGATAGATAGAGTTTGATTCTTTTCCACGCTTCGCATTCTAAAGGTTCACATCTGATGCTTGAACAGCTTTTTCATGATTGATATTATGTTCTTCCTTGTGATGATCAATATTTTGAAGAGAAGCCGGGGAGTTAGAGGCACGTAATAGATAGGTGTTGAACATAGATTGCTCCGTGCACGGAGTGTTCGCTCTCCATTCATGGAGAGTGCACTCCCTGTTCGAATTTTTTTTTCCCTTTTTCTCTTTTCTTTTCTTTAAACTAAGAACTCCAACCTCCTGGTTTTTAGAGAAATTTTAAGGTTGTCATTTTTTACAAAATTTTAGTCAAATTTGATTGAAAATGTATCAATGAACAAAAATCAGTAGCTTGCAACCAAACACTTTGAACAGTGAATGTGCACTGTAAATGCAGGTAAAAAGATATATAAAAAAAAATGAAATGTCACTGTATCAATCAACAATACGACGTTGTTTTTACTCCATGATGCGAAAAAAAAAAAGATTTTGCTATAGTGTAATAAAATAGAATAACTAACTGTTGCTAACGACAGTAACTTCTCATTCTCTTTTTTATATAGCGGGGAGAAAAGAATTAAAAAGAAATTTAAATTGATAAAAAAATAATTATTTATAAATAATAATAATAATAGAAAACAAATTTTTATCTCCATGCATGGAGACTAATGTCTCCGTGCACGGAGATATTTAATTTTTTTTTTTTTTTTTTTTTTTTTTTTTTTTTTTTTTTTTTATTTAATTTTTTTTTTTTTTTTTTTTGTATTTGCATTGTTTAGTTTACAATATATATTCGATTTAAATTTGTTTTTAATTCTTTTCTCTTCAATTTTTTTAACTTACAAGTAACTTTTTCGTTAAAACTGAAAAATTAAATTTTATTTGGAAGAGAAAAGAATTAAAAAGAAATTTAAATTGATAAAAAAAATTATTTATAAAGTTAAAAAAAAACATGCACGGAAAGTTTTCGTGCACGAAGAGTTAGAGAGATTTTTTTTAAGCTAATATATTTTTACATAAAATAAATAACTATAATGATTTTTTTTTATTACACTTAAAAAACTTGAAGCAAATTTTTTACTTATAACTAACTCTTTACATTTTAAAAATATATTGAGCTAATTTTTTTTATTGAGCACGGAGTGAAAAAATGAGACTTGGTGGGAAGTATGGAAAGTTGCGCGCTGCAGTAAATTTGGAGGTACACTGTATAATAAAATATATACTAAGACAAATGTTGTCGTTTTTGCTCCTTCACTTTAAAAAAATAAAAATGCTACAGTGAGATAAAATGGATTAAAACATTTTTCACTTCAACAGTATCTCCACATTCCCCTTTTTATTAGTCTCCATGCAAGGAGACAGTGTCTCCCTGAACGGAAGAATTTTTTGTTTTTTTTTGTTTTTTTTATATTTGCATTGTTTAGTTTACATTATATATATATATATATATATATATATATATATATATATTCAATTTAAAATTCTTTTTTTTTATTTTCTCTTCAATTTTTTTAACTTACAAGTAACTTTTTCGTTAAAAGTGAAAAATTAAGTTTTATTTGGAAGAGAAAAGAATTTTAAATTGATAAAGAAAACAATTATTTATAAAGTTAAAAAAAAAAACATGCATGGAACCTACGAGTCTCCATGCACGAAGAGTTAGAAAGATTTTTTTTTTAAGCTAATATATTTTTACATATAATAACTAACTACAACGATAATTTTTTTTTATTACACTTAAAAAACTTGAAGCAATTTTTTTTACTTATAACTAACTCTTTACATTTCAGAAATATATTGAGCTAATATTTTTTTATTGAGCACAGAATGAAGAGACAAGACTTGGTTTGAAGTATGGAAAGTTGCGTGTTGCAGTAAATTTGGAGGTACGCTGTATAATAAAATATATACTAAGACAAATAGCTTCGTTTTTGTTCCTCCACTTGAAAAAAAATAAAAATAAAAATGAAACAGTGAGATAAAATGGATTAAAACATTTTTCACATCAACAGTATCTCCACATGCCCCTTCTTATTAGTCTCCATGCATGAAAGAAATTTAATTTTTTTAACTTACAAGTAACTTTTTTGTTAAAACTGAAAAATTAAGTTTTTGGAAGAGAGAAGAATTGAAAAGAAATTTAAATCGATAAAAAAACAATTATTTATAAAGTTAAAAAAAACAAAGAGTAAGAGAGATTTTTTCTTTTAAGCTAATATATTTTTACATATAATAACTAATTACAATGATATATATATATATATTTGAAGCAAATTTTTTACTTATAACTAACTCTTTACATTTTAGAAATATATTAAGCTAATATTTTTTCATTGAGCACTAGGTGAAGAGATGAGACTTGGTGGAAAGTATGGAAAGTTACGCGATGCAATAAATTTGGAGGTACACTATATAATAAAATATATATTAAAACAAACGGCGCCGTTTTTGCTCCTCCACTTGAAAAAAAAAATAAAAATAAAAATAGATTAAAATATTTTTCACTTCAACAGTATCTCTACATTCTTCATTTTATTAGTCTCCATGCATGAAGACACTGCACGGAGACAGTGTATCTGTGTGTGTGTGTATTTATTTATTTATTTATTTATTATTATTTTTTTAATTTAAAATTATTTTCTCTTCAATTTTTTTAACTTACAAGTAACATTTTCGTTAAAATTGAAAAATTAAGTTTTATTTGGAAGAGAAAAGAATTAAAAAGAAATTTAAATTGATAAAAAAATAATTATTTATAAAGTTAAAAAAAATCGGAGACACGGAGAGCTAGAGAGATTTTTTTTTAAGCTAATATATTTTTACATATAATAACTAACTAAAATGATAATTTTTTTTTATTACACTTAAAAAACTTGAAGCAAATTTTTTACTTATAACTAACTCTTTACATTTTAGAAATATACTGAACTAATATTTTTTTATTAAGCACGGAGTGAAGAGATGAAACTTGGTGGGAAGTATGGAAAGTTGCGTGCTGCAGTAAATTTGGAGGTACACTGTATAATAAAATATATACTAAGAAAAACGACGTCGTTTTTTCTCCCTCACTTGAAAAAAATAAAAATAAAAATGCTACAACGAGATAAAATGGATTAAAACATTTTCACTTCAACAATATCTCCACATTCCCACTTTTATTAATCTCCGTGCACGGAGACAGAAATTTAATTTACATTTTTTTTTCGTCGTTTATATATATATATATATATATATAATTCTCTTCAATTTCTTTAACTTAGAAGGAACTTTTTCGTTAAAACTGAAAAATTAAGTTTTATTTGAAAGAGAAAATAATTAAAAAGAAATTTAAATTGATAAAAAAATCAATTATTTATAAAGTTATAAAAAAAAAAAAAAACCATGCATGATGACTACGAGTCTCCGTGCACAAAGAGTTAGAGAGATTTTTTTTTTTTTTTTGAGCTAATATATTTTTACATATAATAACTAACTACAATGATAATTTTATTTTTTTTTACACTTAAAAAAATTGAAACAATTTTTTTACTTATAACTAACTCTTTACATTTTAGAAATATACTGAGTTAAAATTTTTTTTTATTGAGCATAGAATGAAGAGATGAGACTTATTGGGAAGTAAGGAAAATTGCATGTTACAATAAATTTGGAGGTACACTATATAATAAAATACATACTAAGACAAACAGCGTCATTTTTGCTCCCCCACTTGAAAAAAAAAAATAAAAATAAAAATAAAAATGCTACAATAAAATAAAATGGATTAAAACACTTTTCACTTCAGCAGTATCTCCACATTCCCCTGTTTATATAGTAGGGATAATCATCTCCAATTTTTTGCTTTTAAATGAACTTTTTTACCCTTTTTTAAATAATCGAGCACATGAAAATTACGAAATACACATTTTGAAAGAAAACTAGAAATATTTATAAATTTGTCATTTGGCTAAAAATTTTAAAAAATATCTCTAATTAAAAATTATCAAAAATAGTCTATATTTTACATTACTTAACACATTATATACTAATTATAAATCTTTAAAATTATAATTTCTATTTTTCTTTTATCCAAGCAATTAATTTTTCTCTCTTCTTCTAGCTTTCTCATAAATTATTTTTTATTAATTCAAGTATTTTCAATACACTGCTAATTTAACATTTTTAAATTTCAATTATCACGCTGAAGATATATTTTTAAATAATATTTATATTTGTCTTTTATTCTTACTGTTTCTAGTAATAAATAAAGAACAAAATAAAAGGTTTGAATTCTTAAAAAATTATTAAATTGCAAAATGGTTTAAGCCTTAATTTGGGAATAATTTATAAATAGATAGAAATAAATTGTGAATAAAAAGATTATGCACTATCTGACACGTAATTTAATCCTTTCATTGCATAGACAATCAATTAAGAAATTGATTTTTCAATTCTATCCTCATTGCCACAATTTCATTTTACTACTTTGCTCTTTTTGCAAAATTATCTTTCTCGACATGCAGACACAAGAAATTGGAGGGTTGTTTTGGCATAGCAAAAATTTTGGATTTAAAATTAAAGTTCAGTAGTAACTCGTGATTTGAAATTGATACAACGTTGTATTTGATAACCTACCCCATATATGCTGTACAAAAAATCGTTTTGACGAATTAAAAGTTGCCAAACACACGCTACACAACACAATCATATAGGTCTGTCCTATGTAGTTGAATTGAACAGGATGTTGGACCATTTCAATAAAAATGAAATAAACTCAAACTCCTAGTTAATACAATATGCTATGAGCATGTTTGAGAGTGGTTTTAAGAATTAATTTTTTGATCATTAGGAAAAAAATTAGATTGAATGTCCAGAGAAAAAATCAAATATAACGACTAAAATAGTGAAATAACGATCAAAAAATCAAAATTTTTTAAAAAAAAAATCACTCTCAAACGTGTTCTTTCCTTTCAATATTTTTTCAAACTTTACCGGTGGTAATGGTCCCAGTTGCTGCTGACTCAAGATTTATAATTTGATAGGTGTCACTCAATTGGAAACCCCTTTCCAGACTTTTCTTGAACTAAATGGATAACAGATGGAGTAATCTCGAACTTTCCTTAATTTCCCTACTAATACCCCCATAACTCATTTCCAATTTCTCTGTAACTCAATCGCCACTCTCTCGTCCAAAAGTGGATTTATAATTCTCGTCAATCTTTTGGCACAAAAATGAGCATTGTTGTGGATGCAATGAACCATCTCTTCAATTTCCCGGAGACCCTTGAGAAAATAAGTTTCTCTTCTTCTTCTTCTCGCCCACATCAAAGCGATGAGAACTCTACCATTCCAGCGGCAGTGGACATTCTTGACACTCCCAAGGAATACATATTCTACGTGGATGTTCCTGGCCTTCCTAAATCTGATATTCAGGTATCTTATTTCTTTTTTCAGAACCATCTCATATTTTAGAGATGCTTGCTCTAAGTTTTGTTGGGATTGTTTGCAGGTTACAGTAGAAGATGAGAATACACTTGTAATCAAGAGTAATGGGAAGAGGAAACGCGAAGATGGGGAAGAAGAAGGGTGTAAGTACATAAGGCTAGAGAGGAAGACATCCCAGAAGCTACTGAGAAAATTTCGACTTCCTGATAGTTGTAACGCATCAACCATTACTGCTAAATGTGAAAATGGGGTGTTGACTGTGGTGGTGGAGAAGCTGCCACCGCCACCCAAGGCCAAAATAGTTGAGGTTAAAGTCTCTTAATAGATGTGTAGATTTTATTAGAGACAAATCCACTTTGTTATGAAAGGTTCGTTTGTATTAGCTTTAATTTGAAGTAAGGTGCTTTTTATTTTATATGTACTTTAGAGGTCACACTGCTCATGTTTTGAGTAATTTTTAATTTTTGCAACTTTAATTTGGGTCTGATGTATGCTTAGAAGTTCTACTCTTCTGTATGAAACATTTTAAAGAAACTTACAGCCTGTTTTGGGAATTATTTTTTGGCTCAAAAAATTAATTTTGTGATCGTTATTTTATTATTTTAGTCGTCATATTTGACTTCTTTTCTCACAAATGAATTCTATTTTTATCCCAACGGTCAAAAAAATTAATTCTCAAAATTACTTCCAAACATGCTCTTAAATTACATTATCATTGAATCAGGTTTGAAAGAGAACAAGGCATGTTTGGTTGACCATAGAAACCAAATTATGGGAGGAAAGAAGAAAGAGTCCCAAGATACCTATCAGTACCAGCCCACAATATTAAATTTAAATGTTTTGGAGTCAAAATTTACCTGAAGGTACAATTCTCATGCAATGTAACATTGCGTTGCAAACTAAAATATGGACTCACTAAGACACTTTTTTCTTCCCCTTACGACTTCTCTTTTTGGTGGATGTCTTTTCTGCTGAATTCGAATCATCCATCAAATGTTGATAGTCATCAAGGCTGGCGAATGGAGATGCTGCAGAATGTTTATTTGATTTTTGCTTCTTTTTCTTATGGTTAAAGCCCTTATCTATGTCACTTTCATCATCTGCTTCGCCTAAGGCAATGTCTTCGTCCACGCCTTCATCCATATTGGCAATATCTGAGGGGAAGTCCTCTTCATCACTGCCTCTGCCAATCAAGTCATCATCATCTTCATTTGCAATTTTGGCCAAATCGTCATAATTATAATCACCGTCTACTTCAAACGTAGGATTGGCAGAGTCCAACACATTCTCAATCTCTTCTTCATTGTCAATTTCATTCTCATCATCACCATCCACACCATATAACTCTTCAGCGGCCTCATCATCAGTTGTCTTCTTCTTTTTCTTCTTAGGTTTCTTGGAGGAATTCATTTTATTCACGTAGAATTTGTGGAAAACAAGATTATCTGGGGCCACATCCTCTTCGGCCAATGACACTATTTCTGGTCCAATCAACTGGTTTTTCATATCAAGCTGGACAGATTTAAGAAGTGTAAGGCAAAGTACCGTTGTAGAAAACAATTATTAAATCAAACTGTGATAACAGCAATACAAATAAGTTCTACCCTCCAATTGAACTTATAAGTGGAAAGCTTATGATTATCATATCAAGTTAATCGGATTCTTACTAAGGCATCCAGTGAGAAGATCTAGACCCCGTACCCCAAAAAAAAAATAAAAACAAAACAAAAAAAAAGTGTAGGTGAACAAACCTTCTTGGCAGGTTCAATCTGGGAGGCGCCATGCCATGTACTTTGCCTTGGTTTCTTTTCCATGAACTTATCCAAGAATGAACTGAGTGAAAGGTCGTTAAGTGGATTTCCGCTGTAAACAATATTAGCCCCAGAAAGAAGGGTTCTGGCCATAGCAGCAACTGACGGGTGCACATGTGAAGCCAGAACCATTAGCTCCCACCAGCTAACCCGATCAGCATTGCTGTTACTCAATAATGAAATTCAACATCAGAACAATAAATATGAATTAAAAGGCCAATATATAATAATATTAAACATGAGAAAAATAAAATGCACGTGCTGCATCCTAATCAAACTGAGCATGTCGTTCTGTAATTTAAGTTGGTAACTACATATTCTACCAGAAGTGAGAAACAAAATTCTCCTCTTTCAGTGGTAGATAAAGGAGATATCATCCCTTAGTAGACAATGATTTGTGTAAGATTTGCAAAGAATGTTGATGTGCTTGCACAATGGGGGAATAATCAAGACAAGTTTAAGGCATTTAAGTAGAGAATCGAAATGATACCATCATATTTTATTAAATGTCAGGTTGAAGTGCATAATTATACAAAGTGTTCAATTTAAAGGAGAAAAATATTCAATTATCTTGTCCAGAATGCAACAAAGGTACTCTCCACAATCGATTGAGCTTAAAAACCTCCGTTTCTTCTGATTTCAATCGTAGAGCTGCCAACCACATCATAGTTTTCTCCAACCCAGTAGGCATGTATGCTTTTTTTTTTTTCCCCTTTTCTTCCTTTTTCGCTTAGCCAGAAATCAGATGTTGGACACAGCATTTCTCAAGCAAAAGGTGGAAGACTAATTTCCAGTGCTCGCCACACAGCATAGTATGTCTGAGAGTGCAATGATCTAAGTTTGACGCCTAGTGTATTTAAAAACATCTTTTGAATTTTATGCAGAAGAATAAATTACTTGAACGCCATCAAGGGGTATATAACTACTTTCCATTAAACCACCGTGCCTACATTTCACTGTCTTATTATAATCATAGTGACTATCAGTGATTCTCAGATTGTCAAAAGCTCAAGCTCAACACATTCAAATCAAACAAAGGATAAATGAAAATTACCAGTAAGAAGGTTCCCTATGGCGTGGGTTGTATCCTCCAGGCAACATCAGGCTATCTTTTCCTCTTTGAACATGGTTGCCTCCTTTACTATCAGACGCTGATTTCAGTTCTTTGCGTTCATCTACACCATATTTCCCAAGCAAACCATATGCTTCACTTAAATCGTCTTCATCAGAACCAGCAGTCATAGAACCACCTTTATCAAGTGCTGAATCATTATCACTATCGCTCTCATTGCTGGTTTGAGAAACTTTGCCTTCGTTATCTGGTACAAGACTGGCTTGTTTGTTGTCGTCATCTACAATATCTTCAAAATGCTCAAGATCTTCATCGACAGACTCATTTTGAAGTACCATGTTCCTGCATAATGAAGAGTAACAAAGCTTTTTAAATAAAAGTAAAAGTACTTTCTTCGAAAGTAAGTGAATTAATTTGGAAAAGTTTTTGAAATCCCATAAGAAAGGCAACTTCGAAAAAGCTGAAAGATGCTCCCAGGCTAAACCTTTCTAACTCAAAAAAATAATAATAATAAAAAAATAATAATAATAATAATAATAATATCCTCACTGAAACTAGACTTACCACAGTGGTGGGCGTGCTTTGAGAACTTCAGAGAGGAGAAAAAGGCAACCACATGCATACTGAGGTGGCAGTTGAAGAGCAACCTGGTGTATAGTAGTAGGGCAATCAATATAAATAAACAAGCAGATTAATATTCATTGGCTTAGTGAAGTAAATACACAATTAGATTGGTGTTGTTGACAATAGTAATCATGATTTGTCCTATCCGGAAATAAAGCTTCAAAGAAAACGAATAAGCCGAATATGCTTATTTTTTGGAGTTCCTGACAATAAGGATTTTCCTTTTTCTCCTTTCTTACATAATGTCTTCTTTCATCGTTCGAATTTGGAAGAAAACCATCCCTATAGTTTCCACTCTGATCGCACTTATGACCTCACATACTGAATATTTTCTCATAGAGATTAACTTAAATGTTAAAACAAAAATAGAAGACAGCTTTCCCAAACAGAAGCTAAGCAAATAGAAGTCAGAGATTGATCTATCTGCCCACAAGTTATATCTGAACACATAATAAAGCTTCATGGGGCAGGCTCTAGAAAAATTAACATGACAAGTATGACGGAAAAAAAAATGCATTTAAACACTAACCTGCAACAAACGCTTCGAGAATGCAGCAACTCGCTTTATGTTAACATCATTTTTCATTGCCCTCAGCATGAGACCTATAAACAATTCCTCCTACACATTATATGCATCCGAACACAGAACAAAACATTATCAGCCACATACAAATTGGACTCCAGGAAAGGGGGAAAAAAAAAAGGATAAAAGATGGTCATTCTGACCAGGCTAGACTCCAAATTATTCAATATGCGCAATTCAGTAATCATAACATCACAAAGAGAGAGAGAGGGTTTCTAATAGAACAAGTGTATCTGTAGATAGAACAAACAGCCTGGAAAACCATTTGGAAAGTTTATCAAACATAATTTGCAAGTAAATTTGCTGAATACAAAATCTTAACAACAAAATGTTGTCCTTCTTTAAGAGCTTAAATTTTAGATGAGGTGATTCAAAGTTGTGTCAAAATAGGAAAAGTCGTTTTATTTTGCCGCCACCCATTTTAAAAAATTGTGCACGTAACATAGATAAAAAAAAATAATAATAATAATAAATAAATAAATAAATGTCGCGTGCATATGAGGCAATATGTTGAAGACTAAATCTTAATAAATAAGCATCCCCTATCAAAGAGCTTAAGCTATTTATGAGCTGGTTGGTTCAACAAAATTCAAATTCTAAAGTCAGGTTTTACAATCATAAAAGGAAAGATGTAAATTAGAATATAGTTATCGTCAAGAAACCTAGTTAGATAGGAGGAAGTTTAAAATTTTCACACATTTATAGAGTAGACTGTTTGCTCAGTGTTCGTGATTCAAGGAATCAAAAGAAAGAGATACCATGATTGAGAACCACATCAAAAAAGTTAGATATTTTAGCTAACCTTGGAAGAACTAATAGCCGCTGGTAGCAAGAGTTTTGAGTACAAGGCACGATAAAAACGATCGCTAACAATCTGATTTTTAGATGAAATCTTGTGGAGAAGCATTAATGCTTGAACTCCCACATTAAAGTTCTTCGAATGAACCTGAAAATCAAAATACATGTAATTTAGATGAAAATCTAGTTTAACGTCCATACAATAAAATCGACACCATTCATCCATTAGTGTGACACAAAGAAATAGATTTCCAAGCATTGCCAGACATACCAGCTGAAACAACATCGGAGTTTGGACCTCTATTACGTCATCAGCTTCATCACCAGAAACAAATGGAAAAGCTCTATTAACACCCTGTAACAGAAGAAGGGTGATGCGGTTATATAATATTTTAGACTGTTCATCCCAAACCACAATATAATAATAAACTTGGAAACAGAAACTATGAGAATGAAGAGAAGGCACTAACTCACTTGGCATAAATTCAGAGAAGACTTTAAATGAAAAGCAAGACCAATTAACTTTTGCATTTTGTTTGAAACATGCTGAGACATGAAGTCATCCACTCACCAAATAAGATGAACATCACTATCGGCCACCCAAAATTGGAAGAAGTTACATAACCTTCCATACTGGATTAGATTACATTAGACTTAACCATTTTTTGCAGTTTCTGAATTCATGGGCATTGCCATTCTTCTAGATTTCATTTTAGCATAGATTTGATCATATTGGGTTAGACACTAGGGGCTTCCCTTATTCTCTAGATTGCTTCTTATCATCGATAAAATCTTATTTGGTGTGCAGCTGGTGTTCTGTACCCAACAATGATTGATCATAAGTACCAAATTACAATGGGCTCAATTCGGTAATTTGATTTAGTTAACCAGGTGCGTCATTCAGCAGATACAATTAGTGAAGCAACAGACTACGAGCAATCTAGCATCATCGCTGATACAAGAATTTTTAGCTTTTTTGGAAGTTAAGAAACAAATCCTATCGACTTTCACAATCAAGCTTAGTCTGTGAATAAGTAAAGAAACTGAACCCCTAAGTTTCAGCTCAACAGTCCTTATGAATGTCCACTATTAAATATCCAATGTAGTAGAAAGGAAACAGTTTATACCGACCGTTAGAAGAGCTGATAATAACCGTGAATCCATTCCAATATGCGATTCTGACAATGATTTAGGTTTGTTCTCTTTCAAAGAGCTGGAAGATTTTTTCTCATCTTTGCTTTGCTTGGCCACAGATGGTCCTTTACTGGCCTTGGAAATTAAAACCTGAAAAGGCGGATTCAAATACTTTAAATCTTTCCGGTGAAAAAGAAAAAGAAAAAAGGGCACAATAAATTGACATGCAATCAGTCCAGAATGAATATAAATGAAAGTGGCATGTAGAACCTATAAAGAATATGGATGAAAGTGGAACGTACAACTTAGACATATAAATAGTGTCAATGAGTGCAAAATCTTCGGCCAATACCTTAAAGAGAGCAAAATAAATATCTATCAAACGTTTTGCAGCCTTTGGTCCATCACCCTTGTGACTCAAACGAATCTGGCTCAAAAAGTTAACCTGCAAATTGGTAGGAATCAAAACAAATAAGGTTTGCAGGTTCAACACATTGTGAATAAAGGAACAGCAATCAGTTAACAAGTTTACATATCAATTCTTACACATCCTCACCTATAATGAGCGCACATTCATACAGATAAAACAACTAATAGTGCATTCTAAAAGAAGGAGATGAGGACCATTTGCACTAGTCCAATGTCATGAAATCTAGGGAAGCAATAATTTTATATCACATCATAAGCCAAAAGGGGAAGAAACAAGTTAAATAGCAGCATAGAAGTTTCAGAAACCACTAATCTTCAAGTAACTTTCAACAGGAAAACTTCACAGAAAGCAAGAGAAAGAAGATATTAATATCATTTTAAGTTATAACAATCAAAAAATGCAAACGTGATATCGAAGCATCACTGCTACTGCAATGAGACAACCTAATTACACCTCAAAAGGCAAAAACTAAAGAGAGAACGTTCAGAATGTGCTTATATTAGCAGGTGAGGGGAGAAAGGGCGACAATAGAATATCAACTTACTGCGTGGTATTTTGCTCTTAATCCAAGATGAGGTCGGAAAAGGAAATTATCCACTTCGTCAATCACCACGGCCTATTATATTAAGAAAACCTTCAACAAGTTAATGTTGCAAAAATTCAACAGAAAAATTATTCTAAAATCAGCATATTATTATCCACAACAAACAAAGTAATAATTCAAGGTTGTCAGCTTCAAGATTTCTATTCAATAATGGCAAGCAAGCTTCCAATCAATAATTGAACAGGAATCACAAACTTATCAATTATCAAAACGTTAAACAAAACTAATCAATACAATCATAGTTAATAAAAAATAATCAAATCTACTTTAAGTCGAACTCGATTCCTAATTCTACTTCATTTAGAATCTCCATTACAAATGTTAGCTAATGCAGAAGAACTAATATATATCACAACAGGCAACAAGCTAAATATTTCATTACGGTTCAAGTTAGCGTGCAAATCAAACTGAATATATTCGGCCATGAACCATACCACTTCCAAAATATCACTCGTTATTCAGACAATCAACTATTCAATTTTAGAAAGGAAAAAATATAACTTGATTCAGTCGTCAAATTCTTAAAGTAGAAACAGGGAAGTTGTGGTTCAAATAAAGTCGTGCCTAATTTATAAAATAGCTTAGATAAATCTGCTTTGAAATGCCTCATAAAAATAATTAAAGCGCTAAAGATTACCTTCATATTTGGATGGTCAGCCAAAAGATTTGCCAAGTGATAATCAGCATTAGATGCAACTTTGTTTTCAGGATGTCCTAGCTATAGGCAAGAAGAAGATAAGAATATATTTCAGAAACTTCATTGAGTTCAATGTCGTCCAATGCAAAAGCTCAAATTTACCTTGTTTACCAATGCAGAGAGTAGACGACGCTCTTGCTCTGATTTGCTTCGCAGCAATGTATACATGGTCTGGACACAGGTGCTAAACATGAGAATTAAACATAACATAATAACCACTGTTATTCTATAATGGGATTGGGAGATCTCAATCTTTTCCTTCAAATGAAAGGAAATAATATTCCTCAGGTACTTGTGACTTATAAAGAGCAAAGAAAATGCGCCCGAGTCATTATAGATGCATAAACCATTACAATAATGGCGAAAATGAAGATTAAAATCCAACCTTCAATGCCTTGTTTCTTAGTATATCCAACACATCTTGTGATGCTTCCTCAAGAGCAGAAACAAAGCGCTCATACCTGTAATTCATCCAGTAGGTTCCACATGAATGTTGTCAATCAAATGGGGATCTAATTGTTTGATGAGTACCAAAATTCCCGAGAGTATAACATTCTCAAAATCCCAAATTCTTGTTTTCATTTAACCATGGGACTTGTAATATCAAGTACAGTGGACAAGAAACAAAACACGTCGATTTTATTAATACTGAGATTTGGAATCTTATTAAAAATATGAAAGAAATTTGAAGGATATTTTTCCCAATATCTAGTCCAACAAATCTTATAGGTGTCACTTAAATTTTACATAGCATACCATCAATGGAAATGAATAAGTAAATAAAAAAATACCTTTCTTTTAGGCATTCCTCCCAATACCAAAAGAGTAAAAGAGAATAACCATCTTTTGTATCTGAGAGATGATTTAGAGGCTGCTGAACAAGAGTCTTCAGCTTACGATCTGGTAATAGACTGGCAGAATAATAATAGACAATGTTAAATATGGCATGAAGCCACTGAGATGCTAAATGAACATTGAGGCAAGTAAATGCCCTTTTGTATGCATATAATACATGGCCAATAATTGAAAACAAACTTTTTATTTATGGTTACATAACTAACAGGCGGGAGCAGCTCAAGAAGGAATAGCCAGAACCAATTATCAAGACACGAAATTGCAACTGATTGTCATTTAACAATTAAAGAAAATGTCCACCAGGGGGATCAAATCTTAAATTGAACCAACCATACAGAAAGAAAGGGTGCTGACCTCAATATAAAAAGTTCTTTGAGTGCTTCAAAGGCAGACAAAGCATGGCGTTTACCAACTTTGGATGTCACCATTCCTGCATGTCATTTTATTCAAAACTTAGTCTCATAAAACACCAAACTGATGTTAGAAATTAACACGACAACTAAACATAAGTAACAATCAGCTACTATGAGTTTGTAACACGTCAGATGGGGCATAAGATGCCTGATACACATTCAGTTTCTACCATTGCAGTACAAAAGTAATCTCCTACATTGCTAGCAACCATTTATAACTTATATCTTTTCAGTAAGGAACACTCAAACTTCGATACTTATGTCCCCAAAAAATTTCCTCAATATAGCCCAATTTTTTAATATACCCATTGATTCTTCAGCACTCTATATGTTCATGTATAAGCAACAAACTGATATATATTCATTGAAGTAGTAATATCTGTCAATCATTATCATTGAAGATATACTAGCTTAGTAGGTCCTTAAACGCAAAAGAGAATTTGCCTATAAAAAATCCTATTAGGTCACGGAAAGGCCTAAACCTCTCCTCTGAAATCCTGTGTAACAATTTGCCAAATATTCCATCATGCAACTAAAAATTCATAATTAGTCAATTAAGCAACACCATTTTACATAATCAGACCAAAAATTACGAATACCAGAAAATAACATGAATCTTACCCAGAAGCATGTCAATCGATCTCAAGTTAGCAACAGGGTTATCTCCGACCAAGACAGAGAACGCCGACACCTTATCCGCAGCAGTCCCTGACCTCTGTGTGGCAATGAGCATCTTGATATCCCCACTTTGGCCTCGCGATGACTCGTACTCATGGACATACTGGGACATCAAACGCTGGCTCAACTCCTTCTTTTCCTCCACCAAACCCTTCCATTCATCCACACTTTTGAACTCAATTCTCTTACTATCCCCTATCACTTTCTCCTCCAGCAAGGCAGCATCTTTGTACCAAACGCTCATTGAACTAGCTTTCAGCAACGGAAGCTTCGGGAGATTCTTAAATTTATTATCACGTTCTTTCAATAAATTACCGTTACTGAAACCAGGGGTCTGAATTTGAGGTGATTTAACGCCGAATTTGGGATTGTTCTGTTTGTTGTTATTTTTGGCTCTGCTCTTGTTTTCTTTCTCGTGTGGAATCTTAGTTTTCTCTCTATAGGAATTTTTGGTTGGTCCGGAATGGGGTTTAAGACGACCAGTTTTACGGAAATCTGAATCATTGAAGCCGGCGGATGAGGATGAGGGAGCAGAGGAGAAGCCGAGAGAGGATGCAAACGATGCAACGTCGGATTGGATGTGGTCTAGATCCGTTTCCCGCATTTTTCCCATGATAACAGAGGTGTGGGTGCTCAAAGAAAGGAGCAAGATACGGCCAAAAGCCAGAGATTCTCGAGTAGAAACAAGCGTAGGGTTTATGGCACGGCGAAGAAGTAAAAGAGTGGGCGTAAATTCCAATAGGCGTCCCAATCTTTGTAGGTGTTATGCCAATACCTCCCACCTATTATTTATCGCACTCGTGCCTCCACTTTTTAAAATTATAGCATTATCATGTCCATTAAATCGTCGTGTGAAACTCGTTTGCACAGCATTTAGGAAGAGTCGAACATGTAGTAAGTGCTAAGAAAAATTTGTGAAGGCATTAATCGTGATATTTTTTATTAACTTAAATGCTTAGATTAAAATTTGAGGCAAATGTAGTAAAATGTCTACTCAAATTGCATAATATTTTTTTGTGTTTGTTGAGTTTTGATTTTCCTTTTTCTTTTTTTTTTTGGTTTGGAACTAATAAAAGGTCAAGTTTGAGAGAGCGTTTTAAACCCATTTTGTTGGAAAAATGAATTTTGGAATAGTAGATTGATGAGGAATGTGTAGATGAAAAATAAAGAAAAGTTTTTGATTTACGTGCAATATTATTTTAATGAATAATATGTGGTTAAAAAGAAGAAAGAGAATAAAGCATTTTGATAAAAATGGAAATGAAAGGGAACCTGAGATGTTTGATGCGTGTAAAATACACACGACCTAGACTCACTTAATCATACTTTAGTTATTGTTTTTCAATTATTATACATTGACTTTTATTCATTTATGTTAAACTAGTCGCTATCACGTGCGTTGCACGAATTTTGTATTTATCGTATTTTTATTAGTGTGTGAATTTTAGTTTTTTGAAAAAATTTTGAAGGAATATCTAAAAATATTTCCATGATATAAGAAAAGAATTGCAAATTATTTTTACAATTGCATAACAGTATGTTATATAGAAAAATATGCTCGTATATTTCATGTTTGAATAAAAATATACAAACTATTAGTGTTAATATGATTGAATTGAATGTAAATATTATATTTATAAATTTTGTATAATTCAATATTGTAAAAAAAACTCTTCACATGGTGCGGAGACAGTTCAACCAAGTGCAGAGTGTAAAAAAAAAAAGGTGCGGAGAGAAAAAAAACTTTGGCATGATGCGTGTGTGGAAGAATATTTATCAATCATGAAAAAAATTCTTCACAAATTGTAAAACAAAAAAATGCAAAATAAATCTTCTTATTATGCTAATAAAATTACAATAAAATTTTTTTTACAAATAACATAAAAAAATCATTTTTATCTTCAAGAAAAAAGCACATTTAAAAATTAGTAATTTCATAACATTTTTTTTTAATTCTCGAATATAGAATTATAAAAAATGAAACAATATTGAATTAAAAATTTAATACTCAAAAAATTCAATATTAAATAAATTTTATACCAAATTATAAATCAGCTTATCGTATTTACAGGCAGCTTACCGTATATATTGTCTACCGTATTTGCAAACAACTTACCATATTTGCAGCATACTGTATTTGCAAACAACTTACCGTATTTGCACTTTACCGTATATGCTACTTACTGTATTTGCAACATACCGTATTCGCAGCCTACCGTATTTGCAAACAACTTACTGTATTTACAGCTTACCGCATATGCTGCCTATCGTATATACAACTTACCGTATACGCTGCCTACCGTATTTGCAGCTTACCGTATTTTTATATACAGATTTCTACACTTACAAATACCGAGAATGTAAAACACCGTACATTCACTTACCAAACCAAATTTCAAAAAAAAAATCAGATTTTTATTTTTTCAATATAAGCATAAAATAAATATTAAATATATTCAATTAAGGGAATCGAAATTGTTTTCAATTTATGCACAAGTAGATTTCCAACATATAGTAGCTAAAGAATCTATAAATACCAATGACCAAGAATTTGATAGTTGACATGAGAAGAAACTGTAGTATACTTGAAACCTCCTGGTAATGTTTATGCGTTCAATTAATTTCTAAAAATTCCTACCTGGCTCATGTGATAAGTTTTGTCGTGTACGTTTGACTCTAATGTTAAATGTCGAGATAGTCTAAAACACAATAATTTTATCAACTATGTCCCAATTTGCTACAAATATGAAATTAGCATCAATCTCATTTTTTACCAATTATATGTTCGTGTCACTTATGCAATAAATTTGATGAGTTCTATTTGTAACCCCTTTCAAAACACAACTCCACTCTAGCTGAAAAATTCAAGAATTTATGCCTTAAGTGTACAAATGTTAGGACACAGTCTCTTATGCGGAGTCCCTGCACAATTGGTGCAGGGACCCTGCACGATCTGTGCGGGGACTCCACACACCAATTTCGTGCGGGGAAGTCCCCGCACAATTTGTGCGGAGTCCCCGCACTGACTCCATGCGGAGCCATGGCCTTATCTTGACTCTCTCTCTCTCGCCACCGTCTGTCACCACTCACTCCTCCGCCTCCTCAGTCCCCAAAATCCTCTACTCTGCTACCTCCAACTTCTCATTTTCAGCCACTCTTAACTTTGACGGCCTCTCAACTACAACCAATTTCCCTCCCGATTATAGTAAGTGGACCCACGTTTCATTCTTCCCTGCTTTCTTCAACAACAAAACCAAGAATGCAAAGTCCATCAAACAAGAGCTTCTTGAAGCAATTGCACCCCTTGATCATGGTGCTGAAGCCACTCCTGAAGACCTGCAAAGAGTTTATCAGGTTTATTTCTTTTACCTTTTTCAGCGTCTTCATTTCTTATCATTTTGTATTTAAGGATAACAAGTTTGGGGAAATCAAGGTTAATTATTATTTTTCTTTTGTGTGTGTGTATGATAAAATCATGATATAAATGATTTAAAATTTGTGTCTGAGTATTGAATTGATGCTGTACTTATAATAAAATTCTTTGAATTAATAATTTTTCCATCTCCTTGGTTTATTAGTTAAAAGAGGGTTTGCATAGTTATCAAATATTTTGTTTTGGCTCTAAGTTTTTCCTTTTTAGAAGGGAAAGTGATCTTTTCAGCATAAATAATGGTGGTGGACCTTAAATGCGTTTGCATAACTTCTTATTCTTCTTTTTTTTTTTCTTTTTTTCTGCATTAGAACACACAAGTGATAACTATTTATTTCTTGTTCATTTACTGTTTATTGAATCATATTAGGCTAGCTGATAACTAAGAATATGGACTGTCTACAGAATAATGCTGCATATTTAATTCTTCAGGAGACATCCTAATTCATTTTCCTTTGACTTTGTTGTTAGTTAGATAGCTCGCAGACTCGAGGCAGTTAAAATCGATTAAACAAAATTATAATAATCAGATAAAATCGAGGATATACCTCTTCGTACCGTGCGAAGAGTGCGGAGAGTTCTCTCCAACTCTCCGCACAGTGCGGAGAGTGCACCGTGCGAAGAGTGCGGAAAGTTCTCTCCAACTTTCCGCACAGTGCGGAGAGTGTGTGCGAAGAGTGCGGAGTGTTCTCTCCAACTCTCCACATTGTGTGGAGAGATGGCTCTGCGCTATGCGGAGAGTGCGAAAGAGATTGAGAGATGGCTTCGCATAGTGCGGAGTTTTTTTTTTCCTAGTTTATATATATTAAAAAAACAATGGATAAAACAACCAATTGCAATAACTTTTAAGTTCAACAATCCAATTGGAAGAAACAGCTTTCCACACAAATTGCCTAAATCAAAATAAGTTTGCTTCTCTTAAAGTAAGTTGCAAGTATCTCATGATAAAGCTGCTGAAAGTCATTATGTCATTCAAAGAAGACCTATTATATAGAATTCATCATTTAAAAGAAAATATGCATACATTGAACACAAACAGAAAGTTTTAAAGACTACCAGAGATTAGAAAATGATCTGAGAAAAGCTTTCTAAAACCTATGTCACCAGTCAAATATGCTTCATGCTTGAGAACTTTGCTGATGAAGATATGTAGCACAAAATTTGGCAACCAACTTAGCTGTGAAATTCAATGCATTGATAAGAGAACAATAATGCACTGACCAAACAACAAAGAAATTGGATAGCAAAACTTGATTTACAGCAAAACATTATTTCAATTCAAACTAATTATAATATTTAATGGATCTGTATTGTGACTTGTGATTACAAGATCTCATGACATAGATTATGATATACAAATGCCTACAGTCAACACTTCATCTTTCTTTTGCCTAGTCATATCTTTTGAATCATAGGTATATGCTAAGGAATGCCGATTTGTATTCAAAATATTCGTGTTATGGTAAATGGCATGCACCTTAATTTAGTACACAATATAACAACAATAGAAGTAGAAAAACTTACCCCCATGACCATCATAAATACTAAAGAATGAGGTGAAAGCATCTAAATCAGTAAGCGCTGCATGCTTGAGAAAAAACAATAAGACCATAGGTTATTCAAGGTAGTGAATAATACATCTCATTATTACAAAATTACAAAATTTGCATTATAATGTTATACAACTGTCTTCCCTTATTTTCTATCTTGCACTACTACACTCGCAAGCTCCTTCTCTCGAGCAGCCTAGGTGCCCATGTACTCTATTAAGAAAATGTCTACATTGATCAAATTATCAAATTGCCTACATCGATCTCGAGCAAACTCTCGCAACGTTGTTCAAATTACCAAATTGAAATTATTTATTAATAAAATAGGCTCTGATTTTTGTGAAAAATGGGTCACTTGTAGTCTCTAATTCTTGCGTGAAAAATGGAGAAACAAAAGATTGTAGGTAGGAGAAAGAGAATTGGAAACGATAGTTGCGTGTTGAAATTGAAATAATTTTGAAGCTGTTAAAATCGGGATGGGATGAAAGAATGGGATTCAACACTATTGTAGATATTGCATTTGCAGAGGCATGGCCATAACGTATGAAAATGGAGAATAGTAAAGTTAAACAAAAAAAAAAAAAATGACGCCATTTTTTCTCTTGTACAGTAATTTGGAATTGGTTTATTATTCCTTCTCCAGTAGCAACTACTTCCCCTTTTTAATAGAAGTCGGATTAGATGTGGAACAAAACCTGACTTCAGGAAATGAAGTGATATGATTGGGTGCATACTGGAGGAAAATTGAACTTTACTTTTGAAATTTGTGACTTTCCTTCAATTGCTCTCGTAATACTTCATATCAATTCCATGCAATCATTTCTTCAACTGTTAGGAATAAAATTTAATCAAGTTCAAAATCCTCATTTTTGCTTCGAGTACCTCCAAATCTAGGTTTTATTAACGAAATTTACGTTAAATGCAAACAAAAACGTCTCAATTTGCAAATATATATAGTCCCTTGTTTGGTTCGGCTAAAATTTCAATTATAATTAAGTCAAAATCATTAATTAATTTTAATCACACATTTCATAGAACCTCAACTTTCAATCAAAATTCTGTCAATTTTATTTTTAAATATACTAAAAATCTAATTTTTATCTAAATCAATCTAGGTGCATCAAAATTATAAGCAAATCAAACTTATCATTTTGCCTCATGACCTATGAGGACCAACCTAGTTGCCTGGTTTGCTAAATAATGAAAATATAAAATAAAATTAAAATAGATGTATGTGACAATAGATACTGTTTATTTTCTATATTTTTTTCACACAATCTCGTCACCTTAGAGTGTGTTTATTTACCATTCTACCATATTATTTTTCATATAGTACTCATTTTTAACACGTTTTTTATTAAAATAATATTACACGTAAATAAAAAAAATTCATTCTTTTTTAACCACACATTTTTTACGTCAATCACTATTTCATAATACATTATTCAGAAATAGTAGAGCACACACACCCCCTTAGTTAGAATATACTTAAAACTATAATCACACGTCATTATTACAATAAATTCTACTCGTACATTTTGTTTTTATATTTCACAAACAATATAACGTTATAATTAGTACACACATCAATGATAATATTCATTTTTATACATACAATGAAAATTATAAAACAAGTAGCCTAGGCCCAACTCAATCCTATAAATTAGTACAACCTTGTTTGGATTTTTAGCGTTTAAAATTAGAGAAGAAATTGATGAAACACACGTGTTTTGGTCCGAGTTATTTACACGAGTCTTATAAGATTCAACATCAAACTGTTTGGAGAGAAAATATAGGCATTCGGAGCTTCAAGGTTAAGATAACGACTATTGCAGCGTTCCCCAGCAACAAGATTATCAAGAAAATCAAAACAAAGATACTGCATTTCTCGAAGGAAAAATAAGCTGAAAATTTTGAATTTGCTTTGGTGATCATGATAAGACGAGCTCTTCAGCTATCTTTTTCCTACTTTTAACTTTCTTCAAATTCTTCACAATTTTATTTTTCTCCTTCTTGATTGTGTCTTAATACAGGAGAAAGGATGACTTGCTCAATTCGTAGCACATTTGGTATGGAATCACATAGTGGAATTTATCCATGTCGTTGTGAAAGAAAAAAATGCTCCCATCACATCATCATTTCCACCCCCATCATTGAAACAAAAAATAAACAAAATATAGATTTTAAGAAAAGAAAGCGACAGTTATATCATGCAACATGTGCAAAAGTCGAATCAATGCATATTTCCTATTCGAGTAAAGGTACCAACAAAGCTAAACAGACAAAGAAAAGAGTTAGATTGAGATCAAACTTATATTTAACAAGGTGGCATAGCATTATTAATGAAAGGCTATAAACAGTGAAAAATCGAAACTTTAATACATCCCAACAAACATAGCAACAATATCATTGAAGGACCAAACATCCAATTCATTCCCCACCATCTTAAGATGAATCTCCATTGAGGAAGGTGTCGACTGAAGAGGCATCCCAATTACCGTCAAGTTATGGCATCTGGAAGAGCTTCATCTGCAACTCAAATGCTGAGAAGTCGTCGAAAAGCTTGTTGATAAGTGTGTTTTTACACACTTATTTGGTTCACAAACATGACTTAAATAGGGATAAAATGGTTGAATTGTGACTTAATCCATTTAGATTCATGCATTGTAGGTAATTCAATGGAAATTGTGGAATTCAGAAGAAAAGAGCCGAAGAAGGACCAAAACGCAATAGTTTGATAGTTCGAGGACCAAAGGTGCAAATATTGAGAAGTTGAGCTAAATGCAAAACGAGAGTAAAAACATGCCAAGTATGAGCTCAATGACAAAGCAAAACAAGTGGAGGAAGAAAGAATGGAAGATGGACTAAAATGAAGATAATTGGAAGTTGGAGGACTAAAGTGCAAATACTCAAAAGATGTGCCGAATGAGTGGCATAATATTTGAAAGTGTCGATCATCAATTTGAAGATAAGAATTGTTGAAAAGATGAAGAAAACGAAGAAAGAAGTCAAGAGAAGTAACAAAGAAGTTCAGGGACCAAATTGAACAAACCACATAGATGGTTACTTCTATGCGACCGCATAGTGTAACCTTCTATGCGGTCGCATAGAAGGTTTCAGTGATTCAATGAGCCAAAATAATTTGATCTATGCGGTCGCATAGTATGTTTTTGAAACCTCGGGCGTAGTTTTTCGTTTTGGTTGAAACTCCTTTCCTACTTAATTTAGACGCGATATAAATACCCAAATTCATCATATGAAGGGAGGAACGACCAGGGAGAAGAGAGAGACCAAAATTGGAGGCAAGAAACTTGATTTTGGATTCAATTTCACACGGGCTCGAGACGGGATTGAAGATTATACACACGGATTGAAGAAATTCCATACGGGTGTATTCTTATTATCTTTTAATTTCGTTTTTCAATTTCTTGATTTTGTAATAATGATTATAGGCTAGGGTTTTTGTTCATTAGGAATTTGATGAACCTTTTGATGATTTAAATTTCCGTTATTTCATTAATTCAACAATAGTTTCGATTGGACAAATGTTTGATTTATATGATTTGAATACTTCCATAATTATTTGGCCAATTGTTATGTGATTGTAGATGATTTGTTCTTTGCATTCGAAAGAAGGAGAATAAATTCGATAGAATATAACTCGACATAGGGTCCGATAGGGGATGGAAACTTACCTCTATGCTTTATGCAATTCATGAAAATGTTCATAAAAAGTCATGCATTCTTGTACATTGCATCATCCATAGAAATATAGGCTGGTGGTGTGTAAGAGTAGATTCAATATATATCGAGAGAGTGTATTGGATAATTTAGGAACATTGAATTGGCATTTTGTTCCATCGATTCGTTGAATTTGTGAAATTAGGATTTTTAATAGTCAATTGGGGATTCAAGTTCTTAATGATTTCATTTCTATTCATTTCAATACATTAGTGATAAAATTGCATATTTACATTTCAAGAACGATACTTGGACTCATAGTCTATTTTACTACTTGTTAACAAACCGTACACTTGCGGTGAGTTTTAAAATCGAGAAGAAATATTTCGCGAACACCTGTCTACATTGATATCATCACCAATCACAGTACCTTCTGAATTTGACTTCAGTTTCTTTGTAGACATAGCATCCTCCAAGAATTGAGCTTTGTCATCTATAAAAACAGAAGAGAGAACATGTGATATTTCTGTGGTACTCGTGGAATTATATCCCTAGCCAAGCTCTAAGGAGTCAAAAGAGTTGCTCCCTTGATTAGAGCTAAAGTAAACATTAGCAACATCACCAGGGTCAGGGTATATAACAGCATAGCCATATTTCTTCATTGGTGGTTTCTCTTGAAAGAAACACATTGAATTGTAGAGGTCATTGACCAGGGCCTGTCCTGTGATTATCGGAGCCCGAGACGTATTCCACAAATTAGGCCCCGTGCGAAAATCAACGCAAATGCAAAGTTCAACATCGTTAGTAAAAATCTGTTGTCCTTATTTTTCGAACTCCAATTTTCAAATATTTTTTCACATCGTTATCTTGGGTTTCTTAATTGCTTTTGTACATCAACGGGCTTTGGGTCGCAAACGAGGTGTTTAGCCCGCTAGGACCGTCTGTGCACGCAAGGCCATATAAATATTGAACTTGTCAAATATCATTTTGGTGAGAATATCAGTATAATGCAATTTTGTCAAATTACAAATTTCATCACACACGATATATGACAATTTTTTAGAACATCAATGGTACCAAAATTCGTATATGACATTATTATTAAGCCCTCGTTCAAGTTACATAATTATAAAAATGAGAATGAAAAATATAGTTGTTATGGAGTCCACACAAAAGATAAAAAATCAAATATGATGGCTTGATATGATAGATAAATATCATATTTTTCATTTTAATTAGTAAATAACGGGGCACAAACAGAGCCTAAATGTAGCATTCAACAATTACATGTTTTACATGTCTCAGAACTAATATCTAAATGATATAAATGAAAATTATAAATGTTTTTCTAAATGATTTTCTTATCACGTAGCAGTTGGTTTTTTAACAGTTTTGAAAAGAAACTACTTTGATATTAAAACAAAAATAGATTGAGAGGTAATTTTTTTTTTTTTGGAACCCCATGGCATCACTCATTTTTTTTAATTCATACTATTATTTTACAATAATCAAATTAGGTACACGTTTAAAATTTACAAATGAAGCTCTAATTTCTCGGATCACGTGAAACTATTGCTCGAAGTTGAAGTTGACACGAAATGCTACAAAATTATTTTTCTGTCCCTTTGCTGTCTGTTTTCAATTCGGTCGTTTTGACCAACTCGAAACAGAGTTGGCAATAATATATCAACGTAATATTTTTTTTATAAAATATATATCGAGCAAGCAAAACATTTTAACATTTTTTTATTAAAATTTGATACCATCAATTAATCAAACGTCTAATTCCTTATATGCCAAAAATTCTTATAGACTACAGCTAGCCATTGGCAGCACAAATCAAGTTCAAGACTGCTTAAATATGTAATCACAGCTCATTATCTAATCTTGCTTTTATTTGTTTAGAGAGAGATAATAAGCTGCGGACATCCGGTGGTTTCTTGAACGAAAATCCATCTGAATTCTGCGTTTGGAGTAAATTCTTGACAGAGCGATTTTAATTGGATTCATTCGCCAATTACGCGTTCTTCTCAATATAAAGGTTCGTCTATTTTTGTTCGGATTCGGGGGAAAATATTTTGAATTTTACTGTCTTTCCGTGCACATGTTTTTTGAATTTGGGCACTGCAGTCGCTTTCAGAGTTTTTGGTTTCAATTAGACTGCGTGGGTGATTTCGAATTTGGGAATCAAACGGTTAGGGTTTCTGTGCGTGGAAAATTTGAGTTGGGGGTCAAGGAAGTGAAGTATCCTGGGGTTTGAATTTTTATTAGATTGAGAATTTTTAGGGCAAATAAAATTAGAGAATCAAGCGTTGTTGCAGCTCTTGGTACTTGTTGATATTGGGCATCGATTGACAGAACGGTAACTGCTCTTCTTTTGGAATTTTGAGGGTTCTTTTTGATAGAATTCATCAAGACATTGTGACTTTGGTCATTAATGTGGAATAGTTGATTGAACTTTGTGATTGGCTATTGTTTGGATTGGACTTCTGTGATTATTCTTTGTGGTTCTTTTGGAAATTGTATGGATAAAAGAGTTGTAAACGGATGAGAACAACACAATGATAGGGAAAGGGGCATCAAGTCGATGGATGTCTCAGATAGGACATTCTCTGATATAGTGGGCTTATTGAAATCGTGGTTCTCCGGACGATCTGAGCCGGCTAATATGTCCAGGGATTTTTGGATGCCGGATCAGAGCTGTAGAGTATGCTATGAGTGTGACTCACAGTTCACCTTGTTCAACCGTAGGCACCACTGTCGACTTTGCGGCCGAGTTTTCTGTGCCAGATGCACTTCAAACTGGATCCCCACAATGTCTGGTGACCAGAAGACACCACGAGAAGACTGGGATAAGATTCGGGTCTGCAATTTCTGTTTTAAGCAATGGGAACATAGATCGACAGGGACAGCTGATAATGGGATCCATGTTTCCACCGTGGACCTTAGTACTACTTCTCCTTCAGAAAATAGTTTTATTAGTACCAGATCTAGTGGAACCTGTGACAGTAGTAACATAACATTTGCATCATTGCCACAATCTACTGGCCTTAGCCCACATCAATCAGCAGCAATAATGGAAAAGACTGCACAAAGGCAAAGTGTTGCTGCAGCAAGGAACAACGAGAATGCTGTAGACACAACAGAACTTAATCAGTCTCCTGACCAATTTGAATTTTGCACAAACAGGTCTTTCTTTCTGCATCCTTAAATATTTTGGCTTTTTGACTACTTCAGTGAGTAGCATAGTGTTACAGCTCCAATTCATGCTTAGAATGGTAGATTACATAAATATTGAACATTGAACATTGATAGTTATCATATACCTGAGGGGTTTTCTACTAGTCCTTACCGGCTAGTCTCGTATGCCGGTGACATCAGGCGCAGTTTATTCTATTAAACATCTTTTTTTTTAATTATTATCATTAGATAATGTTCTTTTTATTATGTTTTTATGGATTGCCATTTAGTTAACTCGAGTATCCGGCCTATGATGTCCAACACCCCAACTTGTTCAAGAAACCAATTTAAAATTTACATAGAATCTTTGTTTGCTGTAAGATATTGCTTTCTAGTTTCCTCCCTCTACTTTCCGTTGCATCTTCTATGCACAATGAACCATCATACAGTATCTAGTTCACCTCTGTATACCTTCTTTGTGCAGATTACAGTAAGGTGATGAAGTTCAGCTGTACGAACTATTTCTAGAAAAATGACTATCAATAGATTCAATTGGAAAGTGCTACTCTGAATTTTGTATTGATTGTTAATTTTATATCTAACTTATGCTTTGCCTCGAATTAGGAATTTTATTTTCCACCTAACCTAACTGCTTCTATACCCAAGAAAGAAAATGCTTTTATTGTAATCTTCTGTAGCATTTCAATTACTGTCCACTAGATTAACTTTATGTGTCAGGAAACTCGTTTGACTTCAATAGCTATATTAACTGAACATTATTCAATCAGGGGTGATGGTGATGATGAAGAACTTGCAGTTTATCAGTTAGATTCCGAAAGAAGGTGTTTTTCCCAGGTTAATTGCTACTATGATCCGGTTGAGTTTGATGATATTGACAATGACTACAAATCACGGAAGGTGCATCCTGATGGGGAAGTCATTGATTCAAAAAGTATGAGCTTTTCTTTGCTACAAAATAGTTCTGAATCTCAGGCTTCAGAAGAAGTCCATCAGATTGTGGAAAAAGAAGCTGAACATGATATTGGTGATGAATGTGAAGGACCTTCTTTATGCTCAACTGAAGATGTTGATACTGAACCCATGGATTTTGAAGACAATGGAGATCTCTGGCTCCCTCCTGAACCAGAAGATGAAGAAGATGAAAGGGAACCACTTCTTTGTGATGATGAAGATGATGAGGACCCCACTGGAGAATGGGGATATTTTCATAATTCAAGCAGCTTTGGGAGTGGGGAGTATAGAAGCAGGGACAAATCTAATGAGGAGCACAAAAAGGCTATGAAAAATGTGGTTGAGGGACATTTTAGGGCTTTGGTATCTCAGCTTTTGCAGGTGGAGAACTTTCTTTCGGGAGAGGGTGATGATAAAGAGTCTTGGTTAGATATAATTACATCATTGTCATGGGAGGCTGCTACATTATTAAAGCCGGATACAAGCGAGGGAGGAGAAATGGACCCTGGGGGATATGTGAAGGTAAAATGTTTAGCTTCTGGGCATCGAAGTGAGAGGTAATGACTTTTATGTGACTCCACTCTTCTAACTTGCAATTGGCTGTTTTATAGATTTTTAACAAAAATTATTTTATTTTTTCATTTGAATGCTATGGGTTGCATCATAGAGATTTCAAGAAATCCTACCATGTCTATATTTACCTGAGCATGTTTGAGGAAGTAAGACTTGTAGACCAAGTTGTTTTGTTGCCTAAGGCCAACTAGACTTGGGGCCAAGATTTAGGCTTTTTGCCAAATAAAATATAGCCTATAATTACCTGCACCGACTTGCAGCTTTGTACTGAAGCTAAATGGGGAAACTGAAAAAGCACCCCTAGCAAAAGACAGTTGTTAAAGTACAACAAACTTAACCAAGTGTCTAGCACTAATAGCTAACTTTAAACACAAATAAAGTACATGAAAGGCTAAAAGTGTGTGCACATCAACCAACTTTTCAAACTTTTTCTTCCTCAAAGTTTCACTTTTTATATGGAGTTCATCATTAAGAAATAGAATATGCAATTGTAGAAAGGTTTTCTTATCAACCTTGCTTCGCTCTCATGTGCATAAGTATGTTTTATGGTCAGGCTAGTTATTTATTGTTATAAAGTTACTGTATGTTTCCTCTTGAAAAATATTCTTGACCGTGTGGACACACTTGAAGGTTGGTATAACAGTAATACTTCATACAAACTAAAAAATCACAGGATTTCTAACTGAGGACTCGTTGTTTAATTAAATCTTTTACCTAATGCCTTATCTAGAATATTGATAATTGCGATTTCAATAAATATTTTGGTCGTCTGCTTGGAATTTTTTGATTTATTTGATCTTTATCTGTTTTAAGTAAAGAAAAATATTATTAAGTGTCTTTGGCTAATAACCTATTTAAATAATTATATATTAAACTAGGGAAGACTGAATGAATTGAAGAAGAGGTTTTCATTTTTATATGAATAAAATTTAAAGGAAATATTCATATTTTGCCTATTAATTTTGTCGTCATTGGTCATTTATATAATGAAGGGTTGGGAGAGATTGGTAGTCTATAAACTCTGACTGGAAGCAATTTGTGGAGATCCAATTTAGATTTATTTGTGGAAGATCAATTATGAAGGCTATACATATGTTGAGTTGGTAAAAAGAAAAGGCACACGAGTGTGTTTATTTTCCTTTGTTTAAAGAAATACTATGTTAAGGATCCTAGAAACTTATTGTGGTGGTCCTCAGAAAAGAGGTCGGTGTCATAATGGTTGTATGTAGTGCTCAGTGTTGTGACCATAATAAGTATAATTTTAGGTGAATTTACTTTTGGCTTCTAGGTCAATGGTTCTTTAAGGATCATGCACCTTTTGTTTTAATTTATGCTGACGTCACTCAAGAACTGCATTGTAATGGTATGTGGTCTGTGTTATTTTCAGATGGTATATTCACGAGTTCTAAGTAGCTACACTGAAGCAAGAAGTCTAAATTAGATTTGTGGAGAGTGAAGGTCATTGGCCGTAGTGCCTAACAATAATGGAAGTAGGTAGAATAAGTAAATGAAACTTTATATATGTAGGAGTACAGATAAAATCTAGACCAAATACTTCATGTCAACAAGGACCTTGAAGAGATGGAGTTTTAGTATCCGTAATCAATCGTTGATAGTTAAGTGGAAATTTAAGATAATACTTTTTATTTGATAAATTGGGAGTCAAGTTGAAGCAAAATTCTGTTTCTGTGGGACTGGGTTTGTTATGCAATAGTTAATGTTAGGCAGTTAATAAATGGTGCATAGGCCAAATGAGCTATAAATGAAATCACCAATTCTTGGTAAAACACTGCCCTCACTATGAAGATGTTAAAAGGTAAATTCATAGGAAGAACTGGACAATTCGAGGTGAAGTTAACAAGAAAGATATGATTATCGGCGAGATCAGCAGGGTAAATGGAGTTGATAGAGAGTGGAAGAACACAATTTTTATAGCTAACTGTTGGAAGGATGTGATAAGGCGAGTTGAGTTAAGTTTCTATATGATAAATTATTTGTTACCTTGTAGAATTAATTGAGCTAGTAATTCTTTTCCCTTTTGGTTTAGTTTCCAGGAGATTGAAAAAGTTACACTCAAGAAAGCTTTATTTAAATTGTTCCTCATTCCTCAAAAGTGAAATCATAAAGATCAATCATTTTAAAATCCTATTGGAATTTGAGTGACCTCTCCCTGTAGCCAAATTTTGTTGCAGATACACACTGTAAAAGGATAAACCTTTTTATTTTTTATTGTTTTGGCTTAGTGAATATGCTGCGACAGTTTTAGAACCCAATTCCAAGGAAAAATGTGACATGATACTGCTAACATAAATTAAAAAGGTTTGATAATTTGAAATAGCAAATTTGTATCCTTTGGAAAAGCTAGCCAAATTTAGCAGACCTCTCATACTGGGTAAAAAATCTGAAATTTTAGAAGTATCATTTTAATTCAACTTAGCCTATTTTTTGCCACTGTATCTATATATGAATCTTAGAAAGAGTAATTAGATTAAAGTGAAATACATGTACTCACCATGCAAAGTTATAATAAATTGTTAAATCTATTGACATCGTAAAGGGAAGAAGGAAGGAGACTGCTTTAAATTCTTGCCCTGGGCTAAGCTTATCTCAATTAGAGCATGATTGGATAAGCTCAAAAGAAGCTTCTTTTGGGAGCATATACATGTTTGGACACTTGCTTATTTTACTATAAAGCAAGGAGAGAGAAAAACTATGTGAGGCTTGGTCAAACATGCTCTTATTTGTTATGTAAGAGGGAAATTGGAGGGAAAGGTAATGGGGAGATATCAATTTTTTAATTGACATTTTAATGGTTTAATTTTACTTGGGGGTGCTGAACAATTTTGTTTTCATCTACTGACTCACCCCATCCTCCTCTTCCCCTTGCTGCTATACCAGGAATTGATGCTCTTTCTCTTTCCTTAGTTACTGCATCTCGTTCAATCCTGCCTACAAAGTGTTGACTAAAGTAGATCGATCTTAAAAAGTTTGCCTCTTGATATGGGAGGACAATCAAAGAACTAATGATATTTGCATCTTGTTTATGCAGCCTTGCTGTTATTTTAAAATAGTTTGTGGATGTATGTAGATTGTATCAGGGTTTAATTAATATGTAGCTATTAATTCCCAATATACAGGAGAATACAGTTTTTTAAAAGTAAAGTTTAATGTTTATTGATAAACTCACTAGAGTTCATCCTGAGATATGTGAACTTCATTTGTACCCTGATCTATTTAATGAACTCAAGTGGGAAAGTTAAATTTCACTTCTAATTTTCATTTATATTGGGAATGACATCGCGATTCATTTTTTCTAGTGTCCATTTATAAATTTGTTCTTACGAAGATTTTTTTCCATTGAAAAGTATGGTGGTCAAAGGAGTTGTTTGCAAGAAGAATGTGGCCCATCGACGGATGACATCAAAAATAGAGAAACCTCGCTTACTGATCCTTGGAGGGGCTCTTGAGTACCAGCGGGTTTCTAACGCCCTTTCAAGTTTCGATACGCTGTTGCAGCAGGTTGAGATCATTATTTTTTTTTTTCCTTGGCACTGTAATTTTTAAATGTAATTCTTGATGTATTGTGCGTGTGGATTTACATCTTTTCAGGAAATGGATCATCTTAAGATGGCTGTTGCAAAGATAGATGTTCACAATCCCGATATTCTTTTGGTGGAGAAATCGGTTTCACGATATGCTCAAGAGTACCTTCTTGCAAAACATATATCACTTGTTCTAAATATCAAAAGGCCACTTTTGGAGCGTATAGCACGCTGCACTGGTGGTCAAATTGTTCCATCTATTGACAACCTATCCTCTCCGAAATTGGGATATTGTGACATGTTCCATGTTAAGAGGTTTTCAGAAGAGCATGGCACAGCTGAGCAAGCTGGAAAAAAGTCAGTGAAGACACTGATGTACTTTGAAGGTTGTCCAAAGCCACTGGGTTGCACTGTAAGTCTGTTGCGACCAGTAACAGGAACAAGAACAAGGATAATAATAATAGATATTGAAAATTCTAATGATTTGATATGGTCTGTAAAAGTCAGCTAACTTAAGTAGCCCCCTAAATTAAAATTACATCAAATATTGCTCTAATATTTAATTAGATATGGACAATTTCGTAATCTTCCGAGCTTCTTATTGTGAACTTTGATTGAGAAGGTTTCTTCACTTCACTGACAAATTGTTTTCTTGGGGTACTTGTTAAGTGTCAAATACATCGATGGAAACGTGTTTTCTATTTTATTAAATACCTCAGTCCTCGTAAAGACAGCTAATAAGCATCCTTTTCCTAATATGCTATCTTCATATTGATTGTTTCAGATATTACTTCGAGGTGCCAGTGAAGATGAGTTACGGAAAGTGAAACATGTTGTACAGTATGGAGTGTTTGCGGCTTATCACTTAGCTTTGGAGACATCTTTTCTTGCTGATGAGGGTGCCTCTCTGCCAGAACTTCCATTAAACTCCCAAATAACAGTTTCATTTCCAGGCAAGTCATCAACCATTGACAGGTCCATCTCAATGATACCTGGTTTTGCAGCCCCTGCCAATGAAAAAACTCTGGGACCTCAAACTGTTGGTGAACCACAGAGGTCAAATTGTGTCCCTACTCCAGATTCAATTAAGTTCTCAAGTGTTTCTGCACAAGAAATTCAAATTCTACAGACGAATAACCTTCTTCCTGTGAGCTCTCAGCATGCCAAGCCACTTGTGTCATCTTCTATGCTAGGTGTTCAGAATATTCCCTTTACCGAATCCTCTTCTTTTCATGCATTAGGAAAAGAATTCATACTAAATTTGAGGGAGTCTTCAGGGGGAGAAACTTCTGAAGCAGTCAGTGTATTGCATGCTACAGGATATCATCATGTAGCTGATAATTTGGGTGATTCAAACATCAAAAGCGTGCAAAATGATTGGGATACAAACCAAAATTGTTCAAATCCATCAGTTTTGCAGCCTGATGGAAAACACATTTTTCAGAAACAAGCATTGTTCAAAGACGAGTTTCCTCCATCCCCATCTGATCATCAAAGCATCTTGGTTTCCCTATCATCACGATGTATGTGGAAGGGAACTGTCTGTGAAAGATCCCATCTCTTCCGGATCAAATACTATGGAAACTTTGACAAGCCATTGGGCCGATTTCTGCGGGATCATTTATTTGATCAGGTTCTCTCTCTCTCCATGTCTCCACCAACCACAAACAAATTTTCTTCTTATATTAGGAACATCGTATATGTGAATTAAACCAAGATGTCAAATTTCTATGACAGAGTTATAGGTGCGGTTCGTGTGAAATGCCCTCAGAAGCTCATGTTCAGTGTTATACTCATCGACAAGGCACTCTTACGATCGCAGTCAAGAAACTGTCGGAAATTCTTTTACCTGGTAAAACAGAAGGAAAGATTTGGATGTGGCATAGGTGCCTGCGGTGTCCACGAAGTAATGGCTTCCCTCCAGCAACTCAAAGGGTTGTTATGTCGAATGCTGCTTGGGGACTATCTTTTGGGAAGTTTTTAGAGCTAAGTTTTTCAAATCATGCAGCTGCCAGTAGAGTGGCAAGCTGTGGCCACTCTTTGCATCGAGACTGTCTTCGTTTTTATGGGTATGATCTCTTGCTCAGTTTCCTTTTTACAATTTCTCAGTATCTTAGAATGTCATAATTGTGTATATTGACATCCAGGTTCACTCAGACCACATATAACTTGATTACTTTGTGGCATGCACAACACTTGGTTATGCTGAGATTAACCTTGGTGGTCATGAACAAGACTTGTTCAACTGTGCTATCCTTTTATTATTACCTTCTGAGTATCCTATTTCCTAAACCTTAAAAAAAAAAAAAAAGCTCTGGCTAGTTTGTTTAACCTTCTTTCTTTTTTTTGTGTGGGGGGGGGGGGGGGGGGGGGGGGCGNATAAATTCTGGAAGCAAGTTGCATTCAAATTGGGCGTACATTTCTACCTGTTTTATATTTTGCCTGGCTTTATGATGATTTATTTAAATTGCAGATTTGGCCAAATGGTTGCTTGCTTTCGTTATGCATCAATTGATGTTCACTCAGTATACCTTCCTCCCGCAAAACTTGATTTTAACTATGAAAGCCAGGAGTGGATGAAACAAGAACTGAATAAGGTGAAACAATTTTATTTATTTATTTTTTTGTTTCTGTACATGTCAAATATCACTGCATGTTTTTAAATTAATCTTTATATTCTAATAGGTGGCAGGCTGGGCTGAGCTTTTGTTCTCTGAAGTGCTCAATGCTATCTGCCTTTTGGCAGAAAAGAAATCTGGCTCAGGTTTGCTCAATAGTGGCGTGAAATTACCTGAATCAAGACGCCAGATAACATATTTAGAAGGGATATTGCGGAAAGAGAAGGCCGAATTCGAGGTCTGGGCTCCATTTTGAATATTGAATTTTATTTTTTTACTTGTAACCACTAATTATACATGCATTATATTCCTCTTTGATATGCATGTTGAAGGAGAATATTGCCTTACTTTGGGTGGGTAAATCTCTTACGCTTCTTAGTAAAACCTATATCTTTTACGTTGTTTTGGTGAAAACAAGAATTTATACCCATATTTTGGCGGGTAATAAAACCACATGCCACGCAAAAACGAAGGTAGAATTATCATATAGCTCCCTCCCTATTTGAGAACCCCATAGCTGGGAAATACAAACTATAAAAGGGGGGAAAAATCTTCTCATTCGCTTGGTTAGCTAGCATAGCTGGAAATTAACACTACATCATCATCGAAAAGTGTACTTTTGATATGATCCTTTGCAATGTAGACTTCTGGTACATATACATGATAATCCTTTTATGATAGAAGTTTTGTATTAATTACAATGCAACACAACATTAAATTGGAGAGGTTTCCAAAATCATTATGTTTAAGCGAGAGCCTCCACATACATTTTATTATGTGGGTGCTGATGGATGTTCAATGATATGGCAGGAAACACTCCCGAAAATTTTGAACAAGGAAGTGAGAAAGGGCCAAGCTGTCATTGATATTTTTGAGATCAATCGACTACAAAGGCAACTAGTCTTCCAGTCTTATATGTGGGACCGTCGCCTGGTATACGCAGCCAATTTAGATAAGAAGGATGAACAGGATGATTTAGATGTCACCAATTCAGAACCTGATGAGAAATCCAGTGGTGTTAATGAGAACATGTTTGATAAAATCATCCCTATTAAGATAGGCAATCCTGATTCTGTTTCTGCAGATGCAAAGCCTGTCAAAAACCATGATCGAGGGTTAGGTGATAGATACAACAGCCATCCTGACGTAGTTCATCAAAGAACTGATGTGGGTATTAACTACAATCACGGATATGTAAATCCATCAACACTTCCTATTGGGACAAAGGCCTTTGATGAATTAGATCTCCTGGAATCTAATGTTGCAGTTCGTAGAACCCTTTCTGATGGACAAGTCCCTATTTGTTTATCAGACACTCATGATGCATTGTGGACCGGTGAATATCACCCAGGTGTCGGAGTACCTAAGAATAATAATTTACACGAACCATTTGAGACAAATTCTTCAACCTCAGCTGGAGTGGCAGAAAAGTTGGATGTGGAAGACCACGAGGATGATCTAACCGTGTCTAAGGTGTCTCAACCGCCTTCCATGTTGTCTGCTAAAGGCTCTGATTTTATGGAAGATACCGTGAGCTGGTTGGGAATGTCTTTTATTACTTTCTACAGATCATTAAGCAATCTTTTGGGTACTCATCAGAAACTGTATACTCTCAGTGAATACAATCCAGTGTACATATCATCATTTCAGGATTCGGAATTCCAGGGTGGAGCCAAGTTGCTTCTGCCTGTAGGGGTTAATGACACTGTTGTACCAGTCTATGACGATGAACCCACAAGTATCATATCTTATGCACTCGTGTCACCTGCATATCTGGTCCAGCTGTCTGATGAGCTTGAGAGACCAAAGGACACTGCAGACTCAATGCTTTCTCTGCAGTCCCATGATGCTGGGAATCTTCAATCCGTTCATTCCTCTGATGAACTGACTTCCTTGCCTTTGGACCCGATCTCATATACAAAAGCCTTGCATACGAAAGTGTCTTTTGTAGATGATGGACTCCATGGGAAGGTGAAATACACAGTTACTTGTTACCATGCAAAGCGTTTTGATGCCTTGAGGAGGATATGTTGTCCATCCGAGATGGATTTCGTCAGATCTCTTAGTCGTTGTAAGAAGTGGGGAGCCCAAGGTGGTAAGAGCAATGTCTTTTTTGCAAAAACCTTGGATGATCGATTTATCATTAAGCAAGTGACAAAGACTGAGCTGGAATCATTCATCAAGTTTTCTCCTGGATATTTTAAGTATCTTTCTGAATCAATTGGCTCAGGTAGCCCAACATGCCTGGCAAAGATCCTTGGGATATATCAGGTATTTCTGAGAAGCAGAATTTAAATTAGGTTAACTTATTTGTTTAGTTCATAATTTATTATTTACACAATTAATTTTCTTATATACGCCCAAGAAACAGATTCTCAAGAGGTACAGATGTAGTTAATTAACTATGGAATTGGTGGACTATGTTTGAGACTAATAGCTGACACCCTTTCCTCCAGAGCAAGTAACACATTTTCATCTTGTTAACACTTAAAACACTATGATGTATTAAAGATACCTTTTTTAGTGAAATGTACTGCTTAAATACTACATACTGATGTAACTAATTAACTATGGAATTGTTGGACTACTTGGTGATGGCCCAAGAAACAGATTCTCAAGAGGTACAGGTGTAGTTAATTAACTATGGAATTGTTGGACTACGTGTGAGATTAATAGCTGACACCCTTTCCTCCAGAGCAAGTAACACGTTTTCATCTTGTTAACGCTTAAAACACTATGATGTATTAAAGATACTATTTTTAGTGAAATGTACTGCTTAAATACTACATAAATATGTAACTAATTAACTATGGAATTGTTGGACTACTTGGTGATGGCCCAAGAAACAGCTTGCGAAGAGGTCCAGTTAGTTGGACATTCAAGTGTCTCAGTTTGACCACATATTCTTTTCATACGGAACCTGTTCTTCAGGTTTAACTGTAATATTCTGAATTCTAAGTGGTTTTCAAGCTGTCTGGTGTGCTGGCAGAGCCGATACATTGCATTACATCAGTAAATCTATAAGATTTCAGCTGAATGAGATTGCTGTGAAGTCAGTCCTGATTGGGACCTAACCTTTGGCGTCATGCATAAATTAGCTTCTACAACGACCCCTATGGTTGTTGCTTCTACAACAACTCTATTGTTGCTCACACACACATATATAATTGTTTGGTATTACAGATGAGAACAAATTTCTCCTCTACATTTCTTCTTTTTTTACCAAAATAATTTCTGTTTATCTAGGCATTTTAATTCCTCTAAAACTAGATCAGGACAAACTTTTTTTGCATTATGATTACTTTGAAATACCCTCATGATCTCTTTGGTATTTTGAAAAGGTTACATCGAAACATCTCAAAGGCGGGAAGGAATCAAAAATGGATCTGTTGGTTATGGAGAATCTTCTGTTCGGAAGAAATCTGACCCGGCTTTATGATCTTAAAGGATCTTCCAGGTCTCGGTACAATCCTGATTCTAGTGGAAGTAATAAGGTTTTGCTTGATCAGAACTTGATTGAAGCTATGCCTACTTCTCCAATTTTTGTTGGAAATAAAGCCAAGAGATTGCTAGAGAGAGCTGTCTGGAATGATACTGCTTTTCTCGCAGTAAGTTTATAAATTCAGTTACTTGGTTCTTGAAATACGCTCACAGTAAAGCACATACATGAATGTTGGCATTGAAGTGATCTTAGGAAAAGATTTACGTTCTTCATTCTTTTTCATTCGCACAGTAGAAGAACTTGCATTTCAAGATATCGATTGATTGAAATTGAATTTTGGAAACTTTGAAGTATGCAAGGCAAAATTGTATGTATCAGTCTTCTGCACCGCATGCTGCAACATGCATTTTTAAGTTTGCTCTTTCTCCATATCTATTGTTGTTGTTATTATATTATGATTATTATTTTAAGAGCTTTTGTCCAAACCAGTAATTAACATTTACTTTCAAATGTGAGGGGAACAGAATCTTATGATATCAAATCAGTCTGCTATATACAGAAAAAACCTAATTATAGCTCCACACCATCCACACAACCAACTCACTCGTGCTAATTAAGCTAATCTTGAACTTGCAGTCTATAGATGTAATGGATTATTCACTTCTAGTTGGGGTTGATGAAGAGAAGCATGAGCTTGTTCTTGGGATTATTGACTTCATGAGACAGTACACTTGGGACAAGCAGCTTGAGACTTGGGTGAAGACGGCTGGCATACTTGGTGGCCCCAAGAATGCTTCCCCAACAGTAATTTCGCCAAAGCAATACAAGAAGAGGTTCAGGAAAGCAATGACTACCTATTTTCTGATGGTTCCCGATCAATGGTCACCTCCTACAATCATTCCTAGTAAGTCGCAAACTGATTTGTGCGAAGAGAATGCACAAGGTGTTACCTCTGCCGATTGAAGTCTGTTCACTTGTACATTTGATCCTACCATTTGGGAATTAAATTCCCTGTTGATTTTCCATGTTCATATATCATTCAAATTTTTTCGGAATGTAGTTGTCCAAACATGCATAACAAGGCTGCTATTCCTATGGAAAGTCTCCTTGTAAAATATATTGGATGACGTCCTCACAAAGTTTTTGTACAATGCTGTCATTTTTTTTTTCTCTCCTCTCTCACCCCCCTCCCTCCCCCAGATTTTTTTTTTTTAACCTTAGAATTCGAGTTGTATATAGGAATTGAAATATGTTTTCAATAGTAAGTGCAATTTTTGCGTAATATTTGTGGTTCAAATATTTCTCTCTCCCCTTTTTCTTGTATTTGTTTAGTTCAACCGGAGGTTGTTATTTCTGTTTTGCATAGAAAATCTATGGATTTTTACTGTTATCTTTTCTAATTTTTATGTGAGATGAAAATTGACTTATATGTACATATCTTGAATCTTATGTATAACGAGGCACAAGGGGCCAATTGTAAACTACTCTTATGACAATATTTGTTGCAACTCCTTTGAATTTTCTGGAATTTGTTCAACTCTAGTAGCAGGAGCAATTGAGAGAAAGATGCAGCAAAATTCAAATTGATGCTGCTCATATCAATAATTTATTTGAGTGAGTCTTCACCTTACATGTTACTAGTAGGAGGTCACCGAACTTTCAAAATAATTTCATTTTACTCATTGAACTATTTTTTTTTTTTTTTGTTCCATTTAGCGCACCCAAGTTTTATATATGGTTTAGCCCCTGTTTGGTTTGGACTAAAATCAAACTGAAATTTGAAGTTAAAGTTAAATTCAACAATTAATTTTAACCCCGCATTTAATTATCTACAACTTTTTAACTATATACATTTTGTCAATTTTATCAAAATTTACTAAATATCTGATTTCAATCTACAAACTATAGGGGTTTAGTTTGTCATGTTACCCTTCGTCCGATAATATCGTGTGACGAACCACGATTGCATATTGCCATTAGCTTTCCTTGTGAAATATCACTTATTTGAAGTACACATTTCGTTATATGATCTAGCATATAAATTATTTATGTGGAGATTAATGGTTCACAAAATAAGGAAAAAAGAAAAAGCAATGCATTGGAGATATAACACATCTACAAAAGCCAAGTTCTAGATTAATAGAGTTCAAGTTTCCTTGTGCTATTTGGTTGAAACACATTTGACGAAAAAGACGTAGAGATTGTGTATGTATTTGGCGTGTTATCATTTGTTCATCTCGAAAACATTGAAGTGGAAGTTGACTCACATAATTTTGATTTAAACTTCAACTTATTCAATTGAAGAATTGAAATTTTTGGAGGCGTTTGTGACTTTAATGTGAAATATCAGATTGACAAGTTCTATAAGTACTTTTGTATTCTATTGAGTACAAATAATTGTGGATGAACATAAAATTTGAAAATAATAAGTCAGAAATTTAATAATTCAATTGAGACCAATTAAAATTTTATGGACGAAAAATGGGAAAATAAAGTCAAATTACGGTTATGAAATATCGCAAGTGTTCATATATTTTTTAGAAACGCGATCTTATACAATTATTATACTCTTACCATTAAAGAAGTATATGATACTCTATTTTTAAATGAGAAGATGAAGCATCTTGTTGGGTCTAAGGCTTATGAAGATGGTCTTGTTGTTTATGTTGTTATGTAAATGACAGATCAAAATTTAATTAAAGCAATAAAATTGTACACACATGTTAGAATTTATAAGAAATGTTATATGTTATATGAAAATATACAAATTTGTACACGCATGTTAGAATTTATAAGAAATCAAATCCTTATCAAAATTGTATGAAATTTAAGTGGAAATGTACGAAAAAAATATTTGAACTAGTATAAAAATTTCTTTGAGACAAACATTGTGTTGTTTATGATGACAAGTGCAGAGTGATAATCGCAAGTGTAATATCAATTAAATAAATAGTAAAATGGACATAAGAGTTCAAACTATTGTTATCATGATGAACATCTATTTAACGAGTAATCTAATTATTTCCAACTGCTATTTGAATAAAGTGAATATTGATGGCAATGTTTTGCTTTAAAACTAATATTAGCTAGCAAAATAGAAGCAATTAAATGATCAAATATGATGATTTAAGTGTTGCCAACTTGCCACTCACTATTTTACTGGAGTTATACCTTCAATCTCACCTTTAAAGTTCAATTCCTAAAGTTGTATTCGGTTAAATTCATTGAGTGAATTAGTTTATATCTTTCGAGTCCCAATCAATCTCATCTATCTAGATCAACTCACTATATTGCTATTTGAATTTGAATAAGCCTCAACCAAAAATCATTAAATCACCAACGAATTCAATTAAAGACCACAACAATAGTGAAAGCATATCTATTCCTTACACCAAATTATCGAATTTTACCACATTGTCTAAATTTATAAATTACATCTCGTTTTGTTATAAATTCCCAAATCAACCATGGCGCCAATTATTTCAAAGAATGAAGAGTAGAAGTAAAATCAATACATAAAGCCCCCCTCTTTTCCCTTATATATTCTCCTTTTCCTCGTATTTCTGAAAATCGTGCACTCGAAAAGAGCCAAATTACCTCAAAAATAAAAGGAAAAAACCTGAATTATGCCCTTATGGGCTGCGACAATTATTTATTTATTTATTTTTCCCATCTCTGAACCTTGACCAATCGGTTCTTCTTGATGTAATAGGAACCAAATACTGATCGAACATGCCCAAGTTGGTTGCCAACTAGTTAATAGTCCTAGTTGGTTGCCACTGGTACCAATACACCAGGAAAAAGAAGAACATAGAAGGGGAAGATAACCTAATTTTTTCGCTTTACACGTAACAAAATATTAATTGACACACTTTTAACTGGTGAAGATAAACAGGTTGACATATATAATCAAGAGTGGGAGGATTTTTATAACTACTCGACTCATCTTTAATGCATATAATATTAAAGTAGGTGTTCAAAGTATTTATAAACTCACAATGAAAATATTTCACGAGCAACGTGAAATATAATCAGGTCATTACAAGGGGGACGAGGATGGAGTGTTCCAAAGCTCAGCAGGTTTGACTCTGGAAATGCTTTCCAATACTTGAAAAGGAACAATGTCTCCCGTAACAACCACCATTTTTGTTTCGAAGTCTATTTGATATGAACTCACTCCTGTATTCACACGGACAATTATCGATTAATTTCAATTATTAATATAATTCACTAAATTTGTTAGCTAAGATAGAGCGATATATTTATTTTGTATGTAGTATGTACCTTCCATCTTCGATATATGTTTCTCAACCTTTCTTGCGCAACCATTACAGTGCATGGATACTTTCAGAACCACCATCTACATATACAGAGTAACAAACAAATGAAAACATGAAGAAAAATAAGTAATTAAATTACTATGTTTGGCTAAGCTTATAAGTAGCTTTTTGGAGCTTATTTGAAACACAGGTACATACCTTAGGCTTAAGTTGGAAAGCCAGAGAAGGGGTTCCAGCTATAATGTCTTTGAGTCTCAACAATGGACCAACTTCTTCATCAGTTTTTGCAATTAGTGGCTTTTTTTCGTATTTTTCTTCTTCTTCTTTTTCGTCGTTTCCATAGTTAGTACTAACACAGAGACAAGAACCCGAGCCAAAACCAGAACCAGAAGAAAAACATAAACGGTCCAATACCCTCCCAAATCTCAACTTTCCCATCATAACCACGTACCTCTTGTTACTCTGTAAGATACTAGATTTTACCACGATCCATTTGTGTTCTTTGAATGCCTAGAAACCACCAGCCATCCAACATTAATTTATCTATGGGGAACCCCTAAAGCATACATATAAATAATATGAGAAACCAATGAAAATAATGCTAAGTAAAAGAGAGATGAGTCAAGACCCATTTTCCTAGGGTGAACAAATGGGGATTGGAATACACAAATGTCACTCCTAACTATAGTCAGTCCAACCAGATTTTGTCTTTTAATGGTTTATCATGTCTTGTCGGTTGGAATATATGAATTGTTACAGTTTCTAGGAGGGCCTGCCTCATGTGACATTACCTGCCCAAATTATATTTTCTAAAGGAGCCATTAAAGTCAAAGTGTTAGCAAAGAAATGTCTAAAGTATGAGCAGTGGCATCTAGTGGTTCGATCTGAGTTTCTTGAAAGTTGGATAAAACAGATTTCTTGTTGAGAATAATGAAAATGGAAACACAGTCTCTACTCGTCCAAAAGGAGATCGATTCTGGTTTGGGTTGGTTTAGTCTAATTTTTTATATTACAAATATAAATTGCAAAACTGTAAAGTATTGTATAAGTATTTTTTTTTTAAATTTTTTTTCACTTTCACGTTTTCTATTTCAGGCGACAAAAATATTGATTATTATGAATAATGTATAAATTAAGCAGAACACATGAGTGGAGGAATCTAAGCAAGTTCATCAGTACCTATAATTTAGAATAATTCACAAAATATTTTGATATCACCTGTTCATTTTCATAACTTAGGTCATCTTAAGAAAATATATTAAATCTTGTGGATGAAATGCAATGGGTGGCTCAAGTCTGCTGCAATATAATTTATATATACAAACACAATCCATCTTATAAAGGTGGATAAATTTTGTCCCCGATCACCGAAGTTTTAATGAAATCTTAACTGGGTTTCGAACTTCAATACTTATTCACTTTTTGTCTCGTATATTGATCAATATTGCTTAATTGGTAGTCATACAGATACAATAGATCTTCACGTGACACCGTATCAGAAAAATGTTTTTAAAAAAATGCATTTTAACCATTAAAGAAGTTTCCATGACCTTCAATTTTTGTCATTTTCGCTCTTGAATTTCGATGTCCAATCGATACAAATAAGAGTTTAAGTAATCCTATTGAAATGTAGCTGAAATTAAGTTCATTAATTATTGAAGCATAAGTCTGCAGCTTCATTATTGGATGTTTGAATTATGTTATTTTCTCCAGGTCGGTCCATGTGATGATGCCTCTCCTCTATAGTAGACAAAATAAGAAAAGCTAAGGCCTAAAGATTATTCGTCTTATGCATGCAAGTGCGGCTCCACATGGCTATGAACCTTGCTAGCTAGCCAGCATTAGCAACATGCAATTGCACTAAAATGTACTTTTTCATTCTTCTGAGAAACTAAAAGAATTTCTTTGTATGACCCTATTTGTTTTAGCATAAAAATTGATAAAAATTTAAGTTAAAGTCAAATTAATTTTAACCAGTCATTTCATGGGATCCATTTATCAAATTTTCTACGATAAATTTTATCAATTTTAATCAAAATCTACTAAAAATCTGATTTTTAACAAAATCAAACGGGAACGTATATCTTCAATAGTGCTACAAGGCCACCTTTAATAATTTATGATTGAGTCCTACCAACTACTATTTTTAAGTCATGTTGATGCATGTTGCTATTCCACAATAAGATAATGTCTATCTTAAATAGCCGGAAGAATAATGCTACTCATCAAGATGGTTGGTGCCACTTGGTGGTCAGCATGTGTAAAATAAATGGTATTAAGTGACTGTATAAAACCTCATATTTCTTACGGGACTAAAGGGTAAAGTTTGATATCTAGAGTACCAAATTATTTATTTTTGATCCTGGAGGGAGCAAAATAAAACTTTTGGAAAATAAGATTTCATTGAATGAATGATGAAAGTAGGTTTCTTATAAGGGACGATATGAGTTAGTTGATTGATCGAAATCCCATTTGGGACTTAATTGTAAAATTTGAAAAGTTAAGGAATTAAACGGTAATTTAGGAAAATCTGCATTTTTATTATTCCCGGAAAATCAGGCTTGAAAATAGTCCTCGCATAGCAATTGCCTCTGCATCCTAACCCCAAATTGCCGATTTGTTCTCCTTGTGTGTAAAGCCACCACTGCCTTGTGTCATTCCTGAAGTTGGAGCTTGAAAGGAAAGTCCAATCTTGTCCTCGAGAAGAAGTCTAGCACGAGGAAGTGGCTTGGTGAGAGCATCAACGAGTTGATCAATCGAGGAAACATGTGCAACCTGAAGAGAACCACCATGAACTTCATCACGAATGAAATAAAAATCAATGGCGGCTTACCCAGTGCGCACTCGAAGAGTAACGACTGCGGGTTCCCCGTTCATTAAAAAAAAAATCAATGGCGGCGTGTTTCGTTCATGAATTAAAAACCGGATTAGCACTCGAAGGGTAACGATTGCGGGTTCCCTGTTCATAAAAAAAAAAAAACCAATGGGTAACGATTGCGGGTTCCCTATTCATTAAAAAAAAAAAAAATCAATGGCGGCGTGTTTCGTTCGTGAATTAAAAACCGGATTAGAACAAATTTGAGTAGCCCAAACATTATCACAATAAACTACAAGACTTGTAGGGATTGAAACACCAAGATCAGTGAGCAAAAAGAAAATCCAATCAAGTTTATTCCATTCATGTAAAATCCAAATAAGATTTTCATGCTGTCGATAAATTTTGATAAATCATTTCAACTATTTTATGATTTGTAACGTTTGAAGTTATCGACATTTTAGGGATTAAAAATAAAATTATCATAACAAATTGCTAAGCTTGTCTAAACTTTACAGTGTATGCGTTTTTCTCATCAAGTTTTCAAGCTTACGGCGACTTTGACAACCTTAAGAACTTCTAAATGTTAGTAACTGATTAACACTCACAATTGAGATCTCAGAACATTACATTACAAAATGGTTTCATAGCAAAGGCTAATGTTCGATCAAATTCGATCAAGGCAACGACCAACTCTTCACCAATGATCAAGGCAAAAACTAATTGGTACCTTATGTCGAATAAGTGATAATAATAAGCTGGATGAACAGTTTGTATATTAACCTAATATCCTATAAGTGGTTGGTTGAACTTTTGAAAGGAGATGGATGATCAATCAAGATGATCGGAGAATTATTAGGTGAAAATTAAGTTATGGTCTCAACGACGGGTCATGAGCTCATACTTAGCCCTTGTTTGAGCTCCATTTTGATGGCAAAAATTAATTTTTGAATAGTGTATTGATGTGAAATGTGTGGTTAAAAAATAATGAAAGGTTTTGAATTTGCGTGTAATATTATTTTATTGAAGATTGTGTAATTGAGATTATGTCAAAATACTGTTAAAAAATTCATTTTCTCCAAAGAATAGAGATCAAACAAGAGCTTAATATTTCTATGTATCACATAAATGTGATGGACTGGTTGTCTAAAATTTGGATAACCAATTCCGTCGATCAAATGATAAATTTTTTCACTCTTTAATGCTAGAGTTAAGTCCTTGTCACGTTATTTGACAACTAAGGCCTATAAGATATATATAAAGGTTAGGATCTTGTCAGAATTTTTGAGTAACCATCCTAGCAGAGAATTAGAGGAATAAACTCCCCAAGTTATAAGTGGGTCAAGGATTTTTGGATATACTGCGAGATGATCTTTTGTGTACCTTTTCAAATAGATAAGTGTAATTGATTTTTGATCTGATTTTAAGATTCGTATCGACTCTACAAGTTCTATGCTGAGTGAAGTTGATCCAATTTCAAGGATTGAAGGTTTGATTACAAAAATTATTATTATATAAGGATTTAATCAATTAAAAAAAAAAAAATTAAAGAGTGTACTGGAGTTTTGATGCTTTAGGGGCTAATATAGAACAAAATTGATTTTATAAGGACCAAATGTGTGTTTAACCCATTCTGGATGAGATATTGGACATGAGGCTCAAAATATTTGTTCAGAAAACCTCACCTCCTTCCTTCCTTCCACAGTTCCACACACAGACATGCACTAAGAACGTGAAAAAACACACAGTTGTATGCACTAAAATGCAGCTTCTTCGCGCTCCATCCTCTTCCGCCTTGCCATTTCATTTCTCGAATTCACAACCCAGAGGAAGTAAGTTTTGCTTTATATGTATGTTTTAATGTTTGTACATCACATGTATTGAATTGAAACTCCTTTTTTATGCCTGAGTTTTCATATTTGTTAGTTCCTGATCGATATATGTAGTATATCGACTAATCTCTTGATCGATCTACTGTTAATTACTTGTTTCCATCTCAAGGAAATGAAAGGCTTGCATGGGTTTCGTTTAAAGATTCAGCGTGGAGCTCAATCACGCCTAAAGCTGCTTCTGTTCAAGGTGGATTTTTTCTTCCAAACAAATTCAATATACCTAATAATGAAAACCCATTTATAGAATTTGACTAATGCAATTGGATTATATGCACAAGTTTCCTATACTGGTTGTGCTGCAATATGGAGAAAATTTTGAGCTGTTATTGCACACTAAACAAGAATGTAACCTGAAAAATATTTTGCATTCAATCTCCTTACAAATTTGAAGTTTTGTGTGAGTTTCTACGGCAGAGCTCAAAACGTTAGTTGAAGGAAAATATGCGTTAGTCAACTTTTTCTTGCTCGCAAATTCAATTTTAGTGTTATTCATAGTTTCCTTTGTTTACTGAAATAAAAATGGGTGTTACATGCTTCTTTTGTGGCAAGACTGAGGGAAACTTTTTATGGACCAGTATAATAACTTCTAGAATCCTGCTGCTGGATGGTATTGGCATTTCGAATGAATTTTTTTGGGAAGTTTGTATCTAGATGGTGGTGGAAATTTTATTCGCACCAGTGAAATACGCATATAGGCATGAATTAGAAAGTATATATAAATAGAAAATGTTAGTTTTAAGTTAGAAAAATCATTTCAGCAAGTTCCCAATCTTGTTAGAAATTTTTGCATATAAACAGAATGCTATTTTTGAGTAGAAATTTAAGTTCCCAGTTATCTTACCAAATATGGTTGGAACTAGTTATGAAAGGCTGAAAGAATTATCACGAACTCGTTTGTTTGATTTTAAATGTCCAATGAAAAAGTTAAGGTCCTTAGGAATCTAGACTGGAATCGGAATTGGTTTGATATTTTTGGATTGCAAGATTCAAAGAGCTGGACCAAGATTTTGATAACAATGTTAGGAGTCCTGCACCTATGCCTATTTTTATGTGATCCTTACTGTAAATGCCCTTGGAGAGTATCATACTGTGATAATTGTGTTATTCAAAATAATATGGTAGATTGGAACTTGGGCCTTAAATGGGCCAACATGGTGGATGATTTGAGGAATACACATTTTGGGCAATTTTACCTGTAGAAAACTGAGGTTCTTTGCCTCTTCCATGCGATAGCATGGGATATGCCCATGCAATCGCATGGGTATAGAAACTAGCCGTTATGGCTGATTTTCTGGTTTGTTTTTGGTGCCTTTTGGTGAATGGATTCCAACTTTTGACGAATTGTTAGAACCATTCCGTGGTGTATTAATGGAAATCTATAAATAGGAGATTGGTTTCCATTTCTATATACAATAAAAGAACAAGAAATCCATACTTTGTTATTCCAAATCAGACGACGGGTCATGAGCTCATACTTAGCCCTTGTTTGAGCCCCATTTTGATGGGAAAAATTAATTTTTGAATAGTGTATTGATGTGAAATGCGTGGTTAAAAAATAATGAAAGGTTTTGAATTTGCGTGTAATATTATTTTATTGAAGATTGTGTGATTGAGATTATGTCAAAATACTGTTAAAAAATTCATTTTCTCCAAAGAATAGAGATCAAACAAGAGCTTAATATTTCTATGTATCACATAAATGTGATGGACTGGTTGTCTAAAATTTGGATAACCAATTCCGTCGATCAAATGATAAATTTTTTCACTCTTTAATGCTAGAGTTAAGTCCTTGTCACGTTATTTGACAACTAAGGCCTATAAGATATATATAAAGGTTAGGATCTTGTCAGAATTTTTGAGTAACCATCCTCGCAGTCGCAGAGAATTAGAGGAATAAACTCCCCAAGTTATAAGTGGGTCAAGGATTTTTGGATATACTGCGAGATGATCTTTTGTGTACCTTTTCAAATAGATAAGTGTAATTGATTTTTGATCTGATTTTAAGATTCGTATCGACTCTACAAGTTCTATGCTGAGTGAAGTTGATCCAATTTCAAGGATTGAAGGTTTGATTACAAAAATTATTATTATATAAGGATTTAATCAATTAAAAAAAAAAAAATTAAAGAGTGTACTGGAGTTTTGATGCTTTAGGGGCTAATATAGAACAAAATTGATTTTATAAGGACCAAATGTGTGTTTAACCCATTCTGGATGAGATATTGGACATGAGGCTCAAAATATTTGTTCAGAAAACCTCACCTCCTTCCTTCCTTCCACAGTTCCACACACAGACATGCACTAAGAACGTGAAAAAACACACAGTTGTATGCACTAAAATGCAGCTTCTTCGCGCTCCATCCTCTTCCGCCTTGCCATTTCATTTCTCGAATTCACAACCCAGAGGAAGTAAGTTTTGCTTTATATGTATGTTTTAATGTTTGTACATCACATGTATTGAATTGAAACTCCTTTTTTATGCCTGAGTTTTCATATTTGTTAGTTCCTGATCGATATATGTAGTATATCGACTAATCTCTTGATCGATCTACTGTTAATTACTTGTTTCCATCTCAAGGAAATGAAAGGCTTGCATGGGTTTCGTTTAAAGATTCAGCGTGGAGCTCAATCACGCCTAAAGCTGCTTCTGTTCAAGGTGGATTTTTTCTTCCAAACAAATTCAATATACCTAATAATGAAAACCCATTTATAGAATTTGACTAATGCAATTGGATTATATGCACAAGTTTCCTATACTGGTTGTGCTGCAATATGGAGAAAATTTTGAGCTGTTATTGCACACTAAACAAGAATGTAACCTGAAAAATATTTTGCATTCAATCTCCTTACAAATTTGAAGTTTTGTGTGAGTTTCTACGGCAGAGCTCAAAACGTTAGTTGAAGGAAAATATGCGTTAGTCAACTTTTTCTTGCTCGCAAATTCAATTTTAGTGTTATTCATAGTTTCCTTTGTTTACTGAAATAAAAATGGGTGTTACATGCTTCTTTTGTGGCAAGACTGAGGGAAACTTTTTATGGACCAGTATAATAACTTCTAGAATCCTGCTGCTGGATGGTATTGGCATTTCGAATGAATTTTTTTGGGAAGTTTGTATCTAGATGGTGGTGGAAATTTTATTCGCACCAGTGAAATACGCATATAGGCATGAATTAGAAAGTATATATAAATAGAAAATGTTAGTTTTAAGTTAGAAAAATCATTTCAGCAAGTTCCCAATCTTGTTAGAAATTTTTGCATATAAACAGAATGCTATTTTTGAGTAGAAATTTAAGTTCCCAGTTATCTTACCAAATATGGTTGGAACTAGTTATGAAAGGCTGAAAGAATTATCACGAACTCGTTTGTTTGATTTTAAATGTCCAATGAAAAAGTTAAGGTCCTTAGGAATCTAGACTGGAATCGGAATTGGTTTGATATTTTTGGATTGCAAGATTTAAAGAGCTGGACCAAGATTTTGATAACAATGTTAGGAGTCCTGCACCTATGCCTATTTTTATGTGATCCTTACTGTAAATGCCCTTGGAGAGTATCATACTGTGATAATTGTGTTATTCAAAATAATATGGTAGATTGGAACTTGGGCCTTAAATGGGCCAACATGGTGGATGATTTGAGGAATACACATTTTGGGCAATTTTACCTGTAGAAAACTGAGGTTCTTTGCCTCTTCCATGCGATAGCATGGGATATGCCCATGCAATCGCATGGGTATAGAAACTAGCCGTTATGGCTGATTTTCTGGTTTGTTTTTGGTGCCTTTTGGTGAATGGATTCCAACTTTTGACGAATTGTTAGAACCATTCCGTGGTGTATTAATGGAAATCTATAAATAGGAGATTGGTTTCCATTTCTATATACAATAAAAGAACAAGAAATCCATACTTTGTTATTCCAAATCACATTCAAACTATTTCAAAGTTTTCATTTAGTTCACTTAGGAAGAATACTTGTGCCTTGGTGTTCTTTTTACAGGCGTGATTAATCCTTCAAACTATTTTTCGAGAACCCTTAAAAGCATTTGGAGAGGAGGCAAATATCATTTGAGAACAACGTTCTTCTATGTGTTCAAGTCCATTCCATTTGGTGTTTCCATCTTCACCTTCTTCTACTCTCCATTGTTGTGATTTCCAACACATACTCTAACAACATGTATGTGATTAAGCAATATCTATTACATTTTTTATTTTTCAAGTCATTCAGACAAATAGCTATGTAGGAGCCCAACACTTATGCTTGTTTTGTAAAACCATTAAACTAAATATCCTTGGATAGCGAAATATTTTGATTATGTTTTTGTAGTTAATCTATATTACCATTTTTTGTGAGTCATGCGGACCAATAAGAAATAGCCATGATACTCATAGCTTATTATCTTTCCCACACTCTAAATGTCATTAAGGCAACATTTTTGGCTTCTAATATTTTTATGTGAAGTTGTTCTTATCAAATTTTTACTTGCAGCTTCTGCTTCAGCAGTATCAAGTCAAACAGCCGAGACTGATGTGCTAAAATCCTTGTCTCAGATCATAGATCCAGACTTTGGTACAGACATTGTCTCTTGTGGATTTGTGAAGGACCTTAATGTGAACAAGGCATTAGGAGAGGTTGTTTAGAAATTAGATGTGATGAATTCTATAATAACTACATGATGACTGATATCCTCATTCAACTTTTATACATTGAATCTCAGGTTTCTTTTCGGTTAGAGCTGACAACACCAGCATGTCCAATCAAGGACATGGTAAATGTCACCATCACCATTGTTTTATCAAGATTTGATGTGTGTGTCAAGTGGTACATACCCTTTTAACTAATTTTTTTACTTTAGCTTTGTCCATTACTCAATAATATGCAAAAGACCTGAGGGATTACTATATTTTTGTTCTCACTCTCTCTTAGATGGAAAATTATCGAACAAATTTCTATTGCACACATTGCACAGAGACTGACGAAGTTTTATTTGTTTAGAGAATAGTGGTGTTTTTTTAGTACATTTGGAATATACCTAATGCCATCACAAAATTGTATCTCTAGTTTGAGAAGCAGGCTAATGAGGTGGTGGCTGCACTTCCCTGGGTCAAAACGGTAAGTGTTACAATGTCAGCCCGACCAGCAAGACCTGTTTATGCAGGGAACCTTCCAGAACATCTGCAAACAATATCGAACGTCATTGCTGTTTCAAGTTGCAAGGTGCAACTCTCTAATACCTGATGACTCTTTTCATTCTATGTCATCATAAGATGTTCTAAAGTAAGTTTGAGATGCGTTACCAAAACTAGGTTTGCTTTCCAATATTGTTGTTCACTTTCTTTTCTTTTCCCCCCACTTATCCTTTCCTTTTGGATTAATAAGTATCATGTAGTACGCAATGATCATCTACCCTGTTCACTGTGAATCTCATTTTCTGTCATTTTAGGAATTGAATCTTGATATTTTTTTCCTCATTGTCCTGGTTGTTTATGGAAAAGAGAATTTAGTTCATAACTTTTATTATCCGGGGATTCTTGTATTTTCCTGCACTGTTACACGCGGGAAACTATAAGGTTTACTTTGTAGTGGTGACCTGGCCTGGAGAGAAATAACAATGCTCTTAAGGAGTGGCAGCAGAGTTCCATCACTACTAACCCGTCCTACTGTATATTGTGTTGTGTTCTGCTATAACACCACATATGCGCATGCACACACACGTACATTTATATATATTTTCAGTCTGAAATGTAGCGAATTGGCTTCTCGCTGTGACTGTAGGTCAATGAACCAAAACTCACAAATCTTTTATCCCTTTAATGCCCTGCTTTTATGCATGTTATCTAATGTCATTTAATGTTCATTAATTTCCTGGAAGCAGACAAACGCTTTCTTTTGATATGTTAATATTCCTATAATTGAAGGGAGGGGTAGGAAAATCAACAGTAGCTGTGAACCTTGCATACACTTTGGCTGGTATGGGTGCTAGAGTTGGGATTTTCGACTCAGATGTATATGGCCCCAGTTTGCCAACGATGGTCTCCCCAGAAAACCGGTTACTTGAAATGGTAATATTTCAGGTTTTGTCCAACAAAATTTGCAATTCACTGTTCATTTTTTAACATTTGAAAGAGATCTTCTAGAATCCGGAGAAGCAAACTATCATTCCAACTGAATACTTGGGTGTTAAGTTGGTATCATTTGGGTTTGCTGGGCAAGGACGTGCAATAATGCGAGGTCCAATGGTTTCGGGGGTCATCAATCAACTATTGACTACTACTGAATGGTATGACATGTTTCCTACATGAATCAGAAAGTTCAATTAGCAATATCCACTACATAGGGTAGAACTGCACTATTTTTTATTGACAGACCCCTATGCTGAACTTTATATCAATTTTATCAGTCAATACAGTTTCTGAGATGGCTGTGGCTTTGATTAGATTTGATGTCATGAATAACAGTCTTTCATGATTTGTTACTACTACATAGGGGAGAACTGGACTACCTCGTCATTGACATGCCCCCAGGAACGGGTGATATTCAACTCACCTTATGCCAGGTGTTGTTATGATGCCTATTTGATGAGATGATTTCCTATAGCCTTCGCAGCAGAGTATCTGGCAAATATCGCTATATTGTTAAGTGATAATCTTGATTAACTTTGCCAGATTCCACTTTCAGGTCGTTCCATTGACTGCTGCTGTCATTGTTACCACACCTCAGAAGCTAGCATTCATAGATGTTGCAAAAGGAGTTCGCATGTTTTCAAAGCTAAAGGCATGTTTCTTGTGGTCTCTAATGTGCTTTCCTGACAATTTTTGAATATTTTTGTCATGTGAAATGAATTTAGTGCAAGACAAACAGATTAATTAGGATAGTACTAGTAAGGGTTGTCTTCTGAGCTATGTCCCAGTAGACAATGTTCTGTTGTTTACATTTTCATTGTATATCATGTTAACAGGTTCCTTGTGTAGCTGTGGTTGAAAACATGTGCCATTTTGATGCTGATGGAAAACGCTACTATCCATTTGGTAGAGGGTCAGGTTCTCAGGTTTCCGACTGCTTTCTTGTCGAAGTTTTGTTTCGCCTGTCCCACTTTTCAGCCACTACCAGAAAATTTTGCTACATAAAGATGGACAATGATAATAAATCATTTATAATAGTAACAAAACAATGTCAAAGAATGCTGTAAGTGTCCAACATTTCTGCAGATTTGAACTTCTGTCTCATTTCTACAAAAACATCTTCAGGTTGTTGAGCAGTTTGGTATCCCCAATCTTTTTGAGCTTCCAATTAGACCAACTGTAAGTTCCATGCTCGATATGCTGTGATCATTGTTCAGATTCATATTTAACTTGGAGGTCTAAGCAGCATAATCAGTCTGTATAAAGTTTGGTTATTCTCATTCTACTGTAATATAAAACGAGAAGAAAAGCTTTTTTCATTGAACTGTTGATTGGAGAAAAACTTTCTTACGGTCCAAGGCAGTATTATCTTACTTTTTCTCATCAAATTCTTTGCACCTGACCAGTTAATTAAAATTTTGCACAGTAAGTTGTACACTACATTGTTTTCTTTCAAAAATAATTTTTCACGTTAGGTAGTTGACATTTGGAAGCATGCTATTGTTGTAATTGAACAAAAGAAAGGACATTTACATTTCTGATTTCAATTATTTTATTTTCATTTAATTGATGTAATTTTCCAATAACTGACAAAACTTTATAGAGAATATTTGGACACTTATTATTTAACCACCAATGCTATTTTATTTATCTTTTCTACACTATATTCAGATTTCTTTGTATCCTTAAAGATGGATAGGAATGTGCAATTGGAATATAAATTTTTAGCATTATCCTTCACTTCACAGTTATCGGCTTCTGGAGATAGTGGAATCCCTGATGTGGTGGCTGATCCTCAAGGTGAAGTTGCAAGAACATTTCAAGAGTTGGGCATTTGTGTGGTGCAACAATGTGCTAAGATCAGTCAACAAGGTAGCTTAATCTACTCTCTTTATTGACCTGAGGGTAGATTTTAATTCAAAATGTTGGAAAACTTAGGTGCTACCTTTATTCAAAAGGCACAAGCCTTTTTCAGTCATAAAGCTAGTATCTTGGACTAAACCAGCCATCATTAGCCAGGGTCAACATTTGGCTCAAATTTGTGAAGATCTGAAGTTTAAACTCTTTGTGTAGACTTGGGTAGGAAAATCAACAGTAGCTGTGAACCTTGCATACACTTTGGCTGGTATGGGTGCTAGAGTTGGGATTTTCGACTCAGATGTATATGGCCCCAGTTTGCCAACGATGGTCTCCCCAGAAAACCGGTTACTTGAAATGGTAATATTTCAGGTTTTGTCCAACAAAATTTGCAATTCACTGTTCATTTTTTAACATTTGAAAGAGATCTTCTAGAATCCGGAGAAGCAAACTATCATTCCAACTGAATACTTGGGTGTTAAGTTGGTATCATTTGGGTTTGCTGGGCAAGGACGTGCAATAATGCGAGGTCCAATGGTTTCGGGGGTCATCAATCAACTATTGACTACTACTGAATGGTATGACATGTTTCCTACATGAATCAGAAAGTTCAATTAGCAATATCCACTACATAGGGTAGAACTGCACTATTTTTTATTGACAGACCCCTATGCTGAACTTTATATCAATTTTATCAGTCAATACAGTTTCTGAGATGGCTGTGGCTTTGATTACATTTGATGTCATGAATAACAGTCTTTCATGATTTGTTACTACTACATAGGGGAGAACTGGACTACCTCGTCATTGACATGCCCCCAGGAACGGGTGATATTCAACTCACCTTATGCCAGGTGTTGTTATGATGCCTATTTGATGAGATGATTTCCTATAGCCTTCGCAGCAGAGTATCTGGCAAATATTGCTATATTGTTAAGTGATAATCTTGATTAACTTTGCCAGATTCCACTTTCAGGTCGTTCCATTGACTGCTGCTGTCATTGTTACCACACCTCAGAAGCTAGCATTCATAGATGTTGCAAAAGGAGTTCGCATGTTTTCAAAGCTAAAGGCATGTTTCTTGTGGTCTCTAATGTGCTTTCCTGACAATTTTTGAATATTTTTGTCATGTGAAATGAATTTAGTGCAAGACAAACAGATTAATTAGGATAGTACTAGTAAGGGTTGTCTTCTGAGCTATGTCCCAGTAGACAATGTTCTGTTGTTTACATTTTCATTGTATATCATGTTAACAGGTTCCTTGTGTAGCTGTGGTTGAAAACATGTGCCATTTTGATGCTGATGGAAAACGCTACTATCCATTTGGTAGAGGGTCAGGTTCTCAGGTTTCCGACTGCTTTCTTGTCGAAGTTTTGTTTCGCCTGTCCCACTTTTCAGCCACTACCAGAAAATTTTGCTACATAAAGATGGACAATGATAATAAATCATTTATAATAGTAACAAAACAATGTCAAAGAATGCTGTAAGTGTCCAACATTTCTGCAGATTTGAACTTCTGTCTCATTTCTACAAAAACATCTTCAGGTTGTTGAGCAGTTTGGTATCCCCAATCTTTTTGAGCTTCCAATTAGACCAACTGTAAGTTCCATGCTCGATATGCTGTGATCATTGTTCAGATTCATATTTAACTTGGAGGTCTAAGCAGCATAATCAGTCTGTATAAAGTTTGGTTATTCTCATTCTACTGTAATATAAAACGAGAAGAAAAGCTTTTTTCATTGAACTGTTGATTGGAGAAAAACTTTCTTACGGTCCAAGGCAGTATTATCTTACTTTTTCTCATCAAATTCTTTGCACCTGACCAGTTAATTAAAATTTTGCACAGTAAGTTGTACACTACATTGTTTTCTTTCAAAAATAATTTTTCACGTTAGGTAGTTGACATTTGGAAGCATGCTATTGTTGTAATTGAACAAAAGAAAGGACATTTACATTTCTGATTTCAATTATTTTATTTTCATTTAATTGATGTAATTTTCCAATAACTGACAAAACTTTATAGAGAATATTTGGACACTTATTATTTAACCACCAATGCTATTTTATTTATCTTTTCTACACTATATTCAGATTTCTTTGTATCCTTAAAGATGGATAGGAATGTGCAATTGGAATATAAATTTTTAGCATTATCCTTCACTTCACAGTTATCGGCTTCTGGAGATAGTGGAATCCCTGATGTGGTGGCTGATCCTCAAGGTGAAGTTGCAAGAACATTTCAAGAGTTGGGCATTTGTGTGGTGCAACAATGTGCCAAGATCAGTCAACAAGGTAACTTAATCTACTCTCTTTATTGACCTGAGGGTAGATTTTAATTCAAAATGTTGGAAAACTTAGGTGCTACCTTTATTCAAAAGGCACAAGCCTTTTTCAGTCATAAAGCTAGTATCTGGGACTAAACCAGCCATCATTAGCCAGGGTCAACATTTGGCTCAAATTTGTGAAGATCTGAAGTTTAAACTCTTTGTGTAGACTTTCTTATATAGTATCTTTGTTTGCTACAGTATCAACTGCTGTCACTTATGATAAAGGTATGAAGGCAATCAGGGTGAAAGTACCTGATTCAGATGAAGAGTTCTATTTGCACCCAGCAACCGTTAGACGAAATGATCGATCAGCTCAAAGTGTGGTAAGTGGAATAATCTTTGCAGTTCAGTCGTTGAGATAAAAAATAAGTCAACGGCTAGTTATATGTCAGCAAACTGTAACAAGTTTTAAAATTTATGGTACATACAATAAAATGAGAATAGTTATGGAAAGCATTAAAATTGATCTTACCATCACTAGCTATGATCCACTTTATATGTCTAAGTAATTTACAGTCAGGGACAACTATGATTTGGTTATCCGATTTGTGAAACGGCCAATCAGTCCAAAATTTCATGGGAAGTGATTTGTCTACGCTTTACATTACTTCAAATATCAAGATCTGAGAAAATAGCTCTGTTTTGGAATATAAAGCGAGACCTCGATATTTTTGTAATAAGGAAAAGCTTAGAGAGAGGAAAAGCTCAGAGATGCTCTCTAAGCAGTTGGACCAAAATTAGTCACAAGGATTTGCGAGGTAAAATATATTTGCACAGGGACTGGGAGTGGCGCCGGAAAATGTGCTTACTGCCTTTACAGTTGTTAATATTAGCTAAGATATCTATTCCCAATATTCTTACGTGATGTCCATGCATGAAGTATCTAGATTTATCATCACCACAGTTTAGATTCATTTGACAGGGTAGCATTCTAGTGGTCAAATGCCATGCTGAAATTCATAAAGTGGGTAATGTAGCACTGCATATAGGTCATGCTACTTATGGGGAAAAAGTTGCTAAAATTTAGATTTTGGAACCAACTAAACTAAAAATTACTCTCTAAATTGAGAACCCTTGACAAAGTACGAATTTTCCTTCTTTTAGATACATTATTATCTGTTGAACTTCATATCTCTTTGTTTCATGTGAGAGTTAGTAATCCTTGCTTATGAACATCTCATTTTTGGTCAAAACAGGATGAATGGACTGGTGAGCAGAAACTGCAGTATGCTGATGTTCCAGAGGACATTGAACCTGAAGAAATTCGGCCCATGGGAAATTATGCTGTATCGATTACTTGGGCAGACGGATTTAGCCAGGTACATTCTCCTTACCTGATTTTCTGCTGGTAAATGATCAATATTTCGTAAAGCTATTCGTTAAAGGGAATTAGTGCAAGGAGATTCAAGCTGCTTAGCAATCTACTTATTAACTTCTACTGTAACAGTTCATTCTCAAGATTACATAATAAACTCCGAAAATCATCTCTGGTAACTTAGAATCATGCATGTTGGATGCGGTTAAATGCAGGCAGATGAATAAGTAGAGCAAGAAAATAGAAGTTCTTATACCGTCCTTGATATTTATTTACTACATATATACTACGTGACAGAAAATGAGCAGGATGAACCTTTGCTGCAGGTTTAACTAAATGGTAGCTCGGAGCAAACTTCAGCATTCAGCTTTGTGCTGATGATATTTTGTCTGTTGTTTTTCTTGCAGATTGCTCCTTATGACCAGCTGCAGACAATGGAACGCTTAGTTGATGTTCCACTGTTGATCTAAATGAAAATGGCTGTTCTGAGGTTATACCATAGATGCCGAAAGGACCCCACGATCAATTTTCTGCTTTTGTGGGTCTGTTGTAGTCACAAGCAAAGATGGAGTATATATTTACAACGAATATAGGACTCTAAAGATACTTTGATTGCTTCAATCCCACACCTCAGATAGTCAAATTTCTCCAGTTTATAGCTTATTGTTAGCCATGCTCTATCATTTTCTCATAAATAAGTAGGTGCAAGGGTCAATGATACAATAGAGGTAGTTTGCATCCATTAAAAAAGCCTAGACATTCTATCCCTCTAAGTGGAACTTGCAAAATCCAATTTAACCATCCTTTCAGTCTTCACGTGAGTCCAATAATTAATAGCATCATATCGACTATGAAGCAAATCAAATAATCCGAATTGCGATTTCCTTTGATTTGAGGAAGCTTTTCCACTAAGTATGACGTTATTTAGAGTTTATTTGACTATGCAAGGATATTATCAAGTGATAATTTATGCAAATTTAGCTTATTATTAAAGTATTTGAGTAAATAATAGAGAAATCCCTTGAGGTATTCGCGAAGTACAATAGCAATCCATGTAGTTTTAAAAAGTTAAAGGAGCAATGTGAAAGAATTTAGAAGTTTGGCGATCCAAATGAACGCAATCAAAGGTTGAGGTCTAAATTGGACAAAGGTTCAAACTTAAGGGACCAAACTTTGCAAATGCTGAGGAATTGAAGCTCGCGACCACGAATTGCATTTTAAGGTCGTAACTAGGGCAACTTTGGGACGTGAAGTCCCGATTAGCCGTGGATCGCAGTGAATTGCATTGACTTAATTTTCTTGACTATGAAGAAAGTATAACTCTAAAATCTCGAAGAGATTCATCATTAAGGGTTGTATTCTTCTCACCTATCAAAGCATTCGAGTTATGATTTCATCCAATTTATTGTATTTGGAAAATCCAATCATGTCCGGCTAAATCCTTTATGATTATATTATAATGAAACCTTGTTAGCATTTTAGTTCAATAAATTATTCATTTTGTCTTGTTCTCGTTATTGTTGAGTGTTTGTTATTGCATTAGTTGTCATTCTATTATTTGGTCAATTTTAGAGTTGTTAATAACCTTTGTGTTATATTGAGAGGTAATTCATGTTTCTAATTCATAAAATAAATAGCACTAAATTTTATAGAAGATAGAAATATATTTCTACACTTGGTACAATCTTAATTGATGTTCTAATTTTGCCTTACATTTTTATATATTCTCATCCTTGATTGAGATGTAATTGGATGGCAAGTAAAAGTTGTATTGATTTATCTTGAGAGAAAGTTAACACGTAATGATCAATTGTCAACATTAAACAAAAAATGGTTCGTAACAAATAATTGAAGATTAAAGTAGGTCAACAATTGTGGATTCCTAGTGTCTTTCGTGATTTGATTAAGCGTCAAGATTTTTTCACTTTTTGTTTACTTATTTTAGTCAATAATTAGAATATTTCAAAATATCAAACCAAATAATTGATTGTGTGTTTTCTTTGTTAGAATTAGTTTTAATTATAGTAAATAGGTAGAAATCAATTCTTATAAGTTCGACACTCTGTTCATTCTATATTACTTGTATACAATACTGTCTTCGTGTTAAATTATATCAATAACACGGGAAAGTAAGGCAAGTAGATCATAAATTCAAAAGAAGCCACAGGCAACAGTTTCCAAAATCACTAAAGTGACGAGTGCAGTCATACAAAAATGTGTGATTTAAAAGAAGAATTGGCATCTGCCTAAAAAAATAAAAATAAAAATAAAAAATGCACCGCATGTTATACTCCAACATTACATGAAGCCACACCTTCGTAAAACCAGATCTTGTGTTCTTGAACAACACGATTTTCTTAACTCAAAAACTCTTCAATGGTCAAACAAAAAGTTATGCAAGGTCAATACTCTACGTTACATTGCATCTTCTACATACTTCTTCCAAGACAATTAAGTCATGTCTTTAGATTAATAATTATTACCCGAGACATTGCATAACTTCTTCAATGGAGTATATATTTGAGATGATTAACATATATTACTGGCCTCGCCTCGACCAAATTCACAAGATGTACACTACGCAATGATGGATGTGATAGCTCAACAGCGACAATGTCCAATCAGATCACAATTTTTTAGATTATATTTCAGGTCTACAAATCACATATCTATGATGGCTATGAATTAACACAATTAAACATTATAAGTGAACCATTAAAATAAAGTCACGTGTCAAACATTCAAATTTGGCCTCTTCTACCTATCCCTCCACATATAAATACTCGATTCTCTATCATTCAAATGTAAGTTTTAAGTGCAAGTAATTGTATAGCTTATAAGTGTAATATAAGACACGACACTCATATTTCAGTTCGTTATTACACTCATATACTAAATATACTTCATCATCTGATTGTGACTTGAGTGTTGGAGAGCACATGATCGTCATACCCACATGAAAGAAAAAAGAGCTAGAATATATTGATAGCTAGATTTTGTCCGATTCAAAGTTCTACCATTTGCATGTTTAAAGCTTATTGAACTGTGTTCATAGGACATTCGGTTTAATTTGAAGTTTACTTGAGGGAACTTTGACAATTTTATTAATTACTAGCCTTGCCCGTGCAATGCACGTACTTGAGTATTTTGAAAGTAATGTTAGTGTTTTGAATGTGTTGGATTCTTGTAGGCAATATTTTCATTTTAGAATGTGCTATTACTAATATGGTATAGACTTGTTTGTAGCTAACGTGCAATAGAACATCGAAGATAAGTGTATAATGTTTGAAAATTAAAAGCATAGAGAGTGGTATTCGTAAAGAAGCTAACGTATGTTACTGTAGTAATATAGATTTACAATAAAAATAAAGTTTTATTTCGGTCCTCAAGGAATATTCTTCATCTTGTATATGTAAGGACAATAGCTTAAAAGGAAAACATTTACCGAGGAATATGTGAAAAGGTACATGAGGTTTATAGAAAATAAAACCTCACATGAATCTCAGCCTCTTAGACATTTAAAAAGGTACATGAGGTTTATAGAAAATATATATTCTTTTGTATTTGGAAAATATATGTTCCATTGTTTCTCCTCTGTCATTCAAGTTATGAGGGTTTTGTCACATTCGAACAACGCATCATTCAAATCCATCTGCACGAGTATAGTTCACATCTTCACTTGCCACGACGATAATTTCATACTTCATCACTCTCATCTATAACAAAAATCTCAAACAATTCACAACCAATAGCTCTGTGCCACTTGTTGGGAAATTAAATGGATCGAGGTGACAAATATAACACAATATGAAGTATATGATCGCAAACAAACAATAAGATAAAATGTTAAGAATTAAAGAACAAAGGAATGAAAATAAATTCTTCAATTGACTAATATAGAGAAAACAAATACAATAGTTGTACCTACACAATTATTCTATATCTTAGTAATACAAAACTTGTTAAAAGAGTCTAGTATTTATAGAGATGCATGCCCACCAAACCTTAGAAGTACCATAAAAATGGAAACAAGATCGAAAATCACGTGGAATAAAAGAAAATTATTTCTCCAATAAAAATGTGTGGAGTAAAGAAAATAAGATTTTTCCAATAAAAGAGCATTGAGTAATGGAAACAATGTTTTCCCAAAAAAACCAATTGAATTTGGGTCACGAATCCAACAATGAGAGAGAGAAAGGTACAATGATAAGAAATAACGATGGAAGAACGTCGAACTTGTACGTTTGTCTTCGGTATTTTTCACACATAATAAATAAAACCTGTTTGGTGAGATTTAAAATTAGATTATTAGTAGATTTTGATAAAAGTTTTTAAAATGTGTGATTGAAAAATTGTGGAACCATGAAAGGTGTTATTAATATTGATTGTTCGACTTTGACTAAGATTAAAATCTAATTTAAATCAATAACACACAGGGGCATAATATTGTAGTGAATGAGCAGAGGAGGAGTAAAATAAAAAATAAAAGTGAAAAGGAGTGAACTGTTGTAAAACTGGTTTGGAACAAGATCAGTGTGAAATGGAGTTTCAAGAATGAATAGTGAATCAGCTATCCTCTCTTTTCTTTGGTGTAGGGATTACATTGAGACTTTTTAAAATTGGGTTACCGTTTAATTTCGTCTTTTTAAGTAACGCGGATTCAATCGCTTTCCTGAGATTGGTAGTTGAACGTATGAACGAAAGGCAAAGGCGTTTTCTTCTTCCCCTCTTTTCATTGTGTACAGTTCCCCTCTGCGTGACACACACATATGTGCCATTACACGTACCCCGTGTGTTCCAGTTCACGCTCAGCAAACACGAATACAAGTGTCAGCAAAACCCCATTTTGTCTTTATTCCACACCCCCTTTCTTCCCATCTTTAATGGCTTAACCATTCCATTCCGATCCTAGACCACCCACCAGAAGGCGTACCTTTGACAAAATGGTAGAAGATAGAGGCCCATCATGCCTAATCGTGGGTAATTATTGTCACGGTGATTGGTCCATCAACTCGGATGTGTCCTGGGGGCTCCTGAGATTGGTAGTTGCACGTATGAACGAAAGGCAAAGGCGTTTTCTTCTTCCCCTCTTTTCATTGTGTACAGTTACCCTCTGCGTGACACACACATATGTGCCATTACACGTACCCCGTGTGTTCCAGTTCACGCTCAGCAAACACGAATACAAGTGTCAGCAAAACCCCATTTTGTCTTTATTCCACACCCCCTTTCTTCCCATCTTTAATGGCTTAACCATTCCATTCCGATCCTAGACCACCCACCAGAAGGCGTACCTTTGACAAAATGGTAGAAGATAGAGGCCCATAATGCCTAATCGTGGGTAATTATTGTCACGATGTTTTGATTAAAGACGACACCGTGATAGGAGAGTCACTGGGCGGCGCCGCCTCCTTTATCTCCGGTGTCCTTGATGTGTTTTCCATCTCCTCCACTTACATCTCTAAGGTGGGTACCGATTTTTCCTACCCTGTCACCCACCCGGCATTAATTTGCCCCTCATTCAAAACCACCGTCTTTCATGCCCATTTTTCCTCTGAGATCAAACGGGAGGAACGGGTCCTTAAACGGGTCTGTGCCTGCGACCCGATAGCTCTTGATGATCTCCCAAACTCGCATTTTAGCTTCGGGTTGGCGGTTGGTGTGGGAGGTGAAATTTTGCCGGAAACATTAGAAAAAATGCTTGATATTTGTGATATAGTATTTGTGGACATCCAGGCTTTGATTCGGGTTTTTGATTCGATCGATGGAACGGTAATGCTTGTTGATTTGAGAGAAACCGAGTTCTATCGATTGCTCCCTCGAATAAGATTCTTGAAGGCCTCGACTGATGAGGCGCCTTATGTGGATGTAGAGGAGGTGAGGAAGTGCTGCTGCTTGGTGGTAACCAATGGGAAAGAAGGGTGCATGTTGTATGAGAAGGACAAAGCACAGCAGGTTGCTCCTTTTCCAACTATTGAGGTTGATCCCACAGGCGCCGGGGATAGTTTTCTTGGGGGGCTTGTGGAGGGGTTGGGGGTGCCTGAGGCTGCATTGTTGGGGAACCTTTTTGGGTCTCTTACAGTCGGAGTCATTGGGCTTCCCAAGTTCGATTTGAAGTTATTGCAGGTTGGATGACGAACTTGTCGTACTATCTAATACATGGAAAATATCGACAATTGTGTTCGATTTGGAGTCTCTTCTCACTTGCATTGCTGTCGATATGTTTCCATGTTATCATTGGAATTTATGCTTTTGGAACAACTAACTCATGTTCTTGGTTTTATTGGATATTTTGTTAAAGCATTTGTTGGTTCATATAACTGTTCAGAAAGTCATTCCACCCGACCTTAAGGAGGCTTTTCGGTGTTGGATGCTCTGTTTTGATGGAATTGACAAAGACTAAGCTAGGACTGGTAATACCTAAATCAAATGAAAAGAGAAAGGAGTCAATAGTTGCATGTTAATTACAAAACTGCTGTTCCAGGGCAATTTGTGTTATATTCACTTGGAATGATAATGAAATTCCGTTCAGAATTTTTCTTGATCAGTGTGATCTCATAATTTTCTGAAGACTTTTAACTTAACATTTGATAGGTGGGTATTTAGTACTTCGTTTTTTAGTTTTCTCAGAAGTTGTATATTACCTTGCCAAGCACAAATTTTGGGAGTTGCACTCTATGTTTAACCTTTTGTCGTGATATCAACATTGAGGACTTGTGAGATTTTGCCATTAGATTATGAGGGCTAACACCTTGCTTCCCTAATTAGAGAATATTTTTCAGAAAAGTGAACAAGTATGTATCGTTATAACTCCCCACATAATGTCTTTTGAGGGGACAAGATAGACGTGGTTTGCTTGTATTTCGATATTGAGATGATTAATAAGAGAAATATTTATTCAAACTAATAATCTGTTGAGGTTTTCTATTGTGATCCTTATTATGAACTCCTTTTTTCTGATTGTGTCTTGTTTGTTCAGGTGTTCATTCTTTTTGCTGACTTTTTTTGGTAAACTTTTGTTTGAGGACTGTGTGTGTGAGGTGGGGATGTTGGGGAGTGGCCGTGTGGTTATCGAAGAAATCCTTGTGGCAAAAAGAATTCACCATAGCTGCAAGTGTGGGAATTCAACTGTTCATCTTGGTTTCTTTTCCTCTTTGGCATGCTATCGTCTGATTCCTTAGACATGCTATTGAAATCTTTATATATTGCTCATATACTCTTTGATTTTGAATTCCAGAGAGTTAAGGATGAAGTGCAGCAGATGAGGTTGCGATGCGCACGATGCCCTGAATGCCAAAATGGTGAATTAATGTTTATGAAGTCAATAGATCACGAGCAATTCCATAATGTACTAGGTGCAGCAGCTAAATTAACTTCCACTCATCCCACACAAGAGTGTCAATGGGACTTGCCACGTTCACCCACTGCAGAACAGTCTATCCACAGCCAGTGCAGCGGTCAACAAAAATCGATATTGAGCTCCTTCTATGAAGAAGTGATTAAATCTCCAGATGATATACTGGGACAAAATTGAAAACATCTCCTCCAAAAAACCCAAAAAAAAAAAAAAAAAAAAAAAAAAAAAAAAAAAAAAAAAAAAAAAAAAAAAAAAAAAAAAAAAACGAAATGAAAATACAACAGAAAGAAGAAAACAAGAATTGGTTGAATATACAGTACAAGTTCTCATCAGTTTTGGTTGTAGGCTTGCATTTAGAGGTGATGTTCTCATTTCTCTTTATTGAAATAATGGTTCCATTGCTAGTCAATGAGAAAATGATACACTTCTGTTTCACACTCGTTATTGTTAATTTTAATATGTTATCATGGTTCAGTTAGTTTTTCTTATTTTTATAAATATTTCATCTATTTTTCCTCCAATTCAATCTGAAATCTGTTTATTCATTATTTAGCTCTTTTTTTTTTTTTTTTGGGTCAAAAATTAGCTAAAATTGTTTCTCGCTTTCATCAAAATTAGCAAACTATTGTAACGCTCGTGTACTTTATGAACACGACAAGAAATTCTTCTCGATCAATTTAAAGTCAAATCATAGGATGATAAGAAACCTTCCCGAGATGTCCTCTCAGTGGACAAACAACAGAGCTGTATGTACAGAAACCCTTTGCATAGAATTTGATCAGATAACACACAATATGAGATGGGTGGATGATTTTTTGACATTATTTTATTACCCACGTGGGGCTCACCATGTGAGTAATCTGGTGGACTTCTGTAGTCTCCTTCCTATACCAAGGGCTTAAACCGTGGACAAATGCTTAGAAATGGACTACACGGAAGCTGTTTTTTATTAAACGACGAACATAATCAAAATTCTAAACATTTTTTTATCTTAGAATTGTCCTTTTTGGTTTCAAAGATTCAATGCAAGAAATTTTACTTACCTAGGGATGTCAACGAGCCGAAATTCAAGGCTTGGACTTGGCTCGAGTAAAATTAAGTTGGACTTTTTTTGTCCGAGCCAAACAAAAGCTCAGCTAAAAAATGAAGGATTGACCCGAGCTTTGGCTCTTTTTTTTTTTTTTTTTTTTTTTTTTTCCCCCCCTAATGCATGCTTGATGAGTAAGTCTTGTTACGATCTGTGCACTTGCGGTAGTTTTAAATCGAAAGAATTATTTTGTGAACAACCAAAAACTTATTCACGAAATAATTCTTTCGATTTAAAATTACCGCATGTGTACAGATCGTAACAAGTAATAAAGTGGATTTTTAAAAGTCCAAATATCGTTCCACAGAGATTGAGTAGTTCAATTCTATATAATCTAGTCTTAACCGAATCTAATTGAGTGAAAATATGGTCCAAATGCAAAAAGCCCTAATTTCAATTAAAAACCCTAATTTCTCAATTAGGAACCCTAATCTCGAAATTTCTCTCATTAAACAACTCAAACACTCAAGTAAATGAAATTATGCAAATTCAAAAGCTAATTTATGGAAATGAATCAAAATAAAGTCACTAGAATCACGAATCCCTGACTGAAGCTATAAAAATCCTAATTTCATAAAATCAATGACCCGATGGAAATTTGCCAATTCAATGTTCCTAAATCTATCCAACATATTCTCTCGATATATATTAGACCTATTCTTGCACACCATGAGCCTATATCTCTATGGATGATGTAAATATACAAGAATGCATGTGGTTTTTTGTGAACAATTAGAGAATTGCATAAAGTATAGGGATATATATCTATCCCCTATCGAACCCTATGTTGATTTACATCTTATCGAACATATTCCACTTCTCTCGAATGTAAAAAATAAGTCATCAACACTCACACAATCATTGACCACTAATTTTGGAAGAAAATCAATGCATATAAACCAATCAAATTGTCCAAACGAGTCTTTATATTAAAATCATGAAATATGGAATTAAAATAACAAACAATGGTTCATCGATCACCTAGTGAATTGAAAACCTCGCCTAGAATATTCATAATTACAGAATAAAAAACGAAATTAATAAATTGAAAGAATAGCACTCGTATGAAAATTTCTTGAAATCTTGAATAAAGCCTTGAAAATTCGCTTGAATTCTTATGGAATCGGCTTCAAGATCGTGTTTCTTGCCTCCAAAAGTTGTAATTTTCTTCTCCCTAGACGTTCTACCCTATTTCTGATGAATTTTGACTTTTATATCATGTCCTCACGGAGCCCCAAAAGAGTTTCAATAAAAAACGCAAGTTCAGAATTTATTTTTTATTTTTTATAGCCATGCGGCCGCATGGTGTTAAACCATGCGACCGCATGGTTCAAGTGAAATGGCCCATGGAATCCCTGCAACCTTCTGTGCGGCCGTAAGGTTGTAACTTTCAACTTTGCTGTTTTGATCCCTGAACTTCGTTTTCTCTTTTCTTGATCTTTTTCTTTCTTTCCTTTGTTCCATCATCAAATATTGACTCCTAATTGACGTTTGGGTCAATCAATTCCTTGATCACTTGCTCGGCTCATCTTTCGATTAATTGCAATTTAGTCCTTCATCTTTCACTTTTCTTCAATTCAGTCCAATATTACTTCTTTCTTCCTCCGATCGTCTTGTATCATCCTCAAGCTCATACTTGGCATATTTTCATTCTCGTTCTGCACTTTAGCTCAACTTTTCAAAATTTGCACCTTTGGTCCCCGAACTATCGCTTCGTTCCGTTTTGGTCCTTTTTCGACTCTTTTCTTCTGAATTCCATCTTTTTCATAGAAACACCTACATTTCATGAATTTAATGAGATTAAGTCACAATTCAACTACTTTGTCCATGTTTAAATCATGTTTGTGAGCTAAATAAATGTGTAAAAACACACTTATCAAATTCCCCAAACTTAAACTATTGTTTGTCCTCAAACAATGTAGTGACTTAATGCTAAACAAACATGGCTTAATAGCTTGCCGTGTCTCAGGATTGGAACTTAGTAATAATAATAGAAACAATATCAAAAGTGCGAGAATTGAATCAACATTTACTCATCAAATGCAATACTCAACGTGTGTGTGAACTCATTCCAATATATCAAGCTTATGATTAGTTTATTCCCACCATAGTGGTCAAATTTATCCTTACATCACTCGAGAGATACACAACCCCCAAATGTATTCTTTTCACTCAATTACTCTGAGGTGTATTCTAAGATTAGGAGTTTAAACAATTTTAATCTCTCTTAGTTTGGATAGATTTTACCATTACAAGTTCACATATCAACAAGTAGAGACTCTCCTTATTTTGATTGCTTCAACCTTTAGGATTAAACTAATCTACTTGACTCGCATCAAAGTTATAGTTCTATCAACCAAATGTCCAATAAGGGCTTTTTTTTTGTGTCATCTTCTCATTTGCTTTCTATATAACCCATGTAACGAGGTTTAGGCAATGACTCCCAAACCAGTTGGCTTTAGAGCACCAGGTTTTAAACCCTTGCAATCTTATTCACTCGAGTTATAAATGCTCGATAAAATGACTTTTTATCAATTTCTCCCTTTTCTTGCTTTCTATATGATTCTTGTAACGAGCTTTAGGCCGATGACTCCCAAACCATTTGGCTTTAGGGCATCAGGTTTTAACCCTTTACAGACTTACTTGCTCGAGTCATAAAGGCTTTTGAGAGAAGTGATGATTTTTCAATTTTTATTTTATGCCCCTTCTTTGTTTTTCTAGACATTTGACTTCCAAAACCATCATCAACTTAAAGCTTTCACCTATTTCTCACCTTCCGGGTCTAAACAATCCACACAGTATAATTTCTTTCATGCGCGGAGCCCCCACTTATCTCCATGTTTCCCTATAATGGCTCAACCATCTCCAAACTATCTCAAAGTGGTATTATGGGTTAATGTTATAGAGGGTTATTCTAGGTTTCTCCTAATTTATTCTAGAATTCCAATCAATAACTTAACACGTGAAGCATGAGTGGCGTGCAAAAGAATGTCAAGCAATACATCAACAAGTATTAGCAAATTAAATCCTGCACTAAATCCACAGTTTCTAGTTTATACATGTCCAATAATCACATCATAGCCGGAAAGACTACCAAACCCATACAAGCATGCAAAAGTTCATTAAGACTCACTCATCAAGCATGCATCATGCAAAGACTTGTCAAAATTAACGATAGATTGTGAATATGCAAAATAATTACATGCCGAATATTTGTTTGAAATTATGCTACCATCCCCCAAACTTATACAATACATTGTCCTCAATGTAAAATGTAAAGTTAAAATGGCAGAATTTAAAACATGGACACAACTTGGCAATAAGAGATTAACAAAACTCCCCTGATCAATTCGGTTACTGTGGTGTGAAGTTGGGACCTGCAGCATCATCTTCAGGAGGAGATAGGAGGTGAGATAGGAGTTGTCTCAGCAACTCGGACTGCTGTGCTTCCTCGGCCTGAATGACTTGAAGCCTACTTTCCATACTTCCCAAACGATCCCAAGTTTCGTTCACACGCCACTGTATGCCATCCATTCTTCCAGCGTACATGTTGAAACTACCATTCATAGTCTCTACTTCCCTTCTTGCAGCTGTGGCTTCATTCTTAGCGCCCAATGTGTAGTCTCGGGAGGAATAGAGGTCTTCTGCACTTTTTCAATAGTGGTGGTCATCGTCTCGAACCTCTGCTAGAGATTTTGTATATCCCTGCTAGTTCCAGTGGCGGTGGCAAATATCTGTCGAAGTAGCTGCGAATCCATTTCAGCTAGTTGTGGCGGGGCTTGTGGCAGGTGTATATTTTCAGCTGCTTGTCCTTCTCCCTGCTCATTATGTCTTTGCTGCTCAAGTTGGTCTTGTTCTCTTTTCCTCACCCTAGCTCGTTCCCGAGCTTCAAATGTTGTGTGCTTTATCAGTGGGGTTAATTTCTGAGGCATCTCCCCTGCCTCAACTGTAACACCGGTGGCGAGACATATCCCGCTAATCAGACTAGGGAAGATCATCGAAGACCGCCTATCTCCCCAGGTCCCCACATTTTGTATCTGGTCATAGATAAGAGTAGCTAAATCAACTTTGCATCCTCGGACTAAATGATATATGAACCCAGCAGTTTGATTCGTGAAAGTTGTTCGATGTGATATGAGTTCGATATTATGGCACATGAAGACCCAGAGGATGGCTATGGAATGTATGCTCAATTTGATGCCACTCTGCTGTGGGTAGGGGCCGAGCATTTTCTCTTCCCAAGAGAACCTCCGCCACTTCATTCCAATTGAATTGAGTGGGAATCGGGACCACATTGTCCAAATTAAGATTGTAGAAGTCATGAATGACGGCTGGGGAGAACATTATCCACTTACCTCGCACCCACGTCTGGTGTAAGTGTTCAGAATCCG